CTCCAGCCTTGTACAACAATGACCATTTCATGCTGAGCATTGTAATCAAGATAAACAATTGTTCCTTAGCTTTCATGATTTCGAAGCAACGAAGATTACCCGCCTTTGTTGCTAAGCATTTAACAACCCAGGTGAAGCTGCTACAAAACAATATCGTTATCGATTGATTTGTTATTGCCATTCATTATGAATGTATTTGTTCTAATAATAATTATTCATGTGCTTCATAAACTACAAACCAAAACATCAATTGTATACAAACTATATAGAGCCAACAGCTTTTATTTATATATACATTAATGTTGTTGAGCGTAACGGTATAGATTGGTGCTGATGAACACTGTTCTTTCATCAATGAGGCTACACGTCCCTTGATAAAACCCCTTCGTCAAATGTAAGTCTTCCTTTCTAATGGACGATTTTCAATATAATATCTCAATTAAACGCAAAAGGTCGGTAGTTGCGATTGCTCGAGCAGACAATCGTTAGTTTTCTGTAGAATTAAACCCAGATTTCAAAAGAATTGTTAATCAGTAAATGTTGGTAGTTTAGCAATGGTTGCTGAAAAAGAATATCAACAATCCATCTACAAGTCCATCTACATTTGATAATCAAGTTGTTAATTTTTACAAACCGGTAGCGGAAACTAAGTGTTTAGCAATCGGAATCTACTGGCTCTCTCTCTCTCTCTCTCTCTCTCTCTCTCTCTCTCTCTCTCTCTCTATCTCTCTCTCTCTATATATATATATATATATATCAATCACTCTCTCTATTTATTTATATATATATATATATCTCCTTTTTCTACCATTCTTTACTAATGGAGAACGATTTTGTTTATCTGTTCTAATATAGATATACATACTTTATTGTATTGTTGTCTACTTCTGGTAGATTCACTGTCTGTCGACAGTTGTTTAACACGATCAATGTCCTTCCCAGATCGTTACTCATTAGGCTCAAACTCCCGTGTTAAATAGTGCCAGGGAACTGTTCGTCTGTACGTGGTGTTAAACTATCGATGATATTGCAATTAAACTATAGTAGACAATAGCTCCAGGAAGTAATTAAAAGCTATCGGGATATTGGATACATTACAACGGATCAAGCCTAATGATATACAACGTTTCATATCCTACTATTAACTTCATAATCAATGAAATAAATTAAATAATCGTGGGAAACAAGCATTTGTGAATTTCTTATTCATTGTGTAACGATATCTGTAATAACTGAAAACCTGTGTTGAGTTTGTCTCAGATGTCTAGGGAAAATTGTTACATGTCTCAATTACTCGAAATTTTGGAATTTTTAAGTTCTGCAATCTTGATGTGCCCAAAGAAATCTATTGATATAACAAATTGTTGTAAATTATCAACAAGAAGATCAAAGGTGAGATAGATTTATTTTCAATACAATATCTTGTTATAACAATTATCACTAACAAACCACACAGATGATAAGCAGCGTTCAATACAAAGTTAAAATTACAAACAACCTTTACGTGCGAAGGAAGCCATCTGGATCTATTCTGCATCATAAATTGTCTCTTCGTTCAAGGAGTCGTTTATTTCAGAATGCTTTATAGAGACAGCAGACTAGTGACTATATAAGTCTTCTAAATTGTCCGAAGATTGCGAAGCAAATTCAGCAAAATGGCTAGGGAAATATGTTTGTAATATGGAATTCTAAATTCACGAAGCAAGTGCAAAGTGAAAGAACTCCGAGCACAAGCTTCAAACATTTTGAAAAACCTAAATGAAGCTACTTGTTGGCCATTTTAAAGACAAAATTGATTTTTAGAAAAAAAATAATAATATAGGGGACAATTAAATTGATACTTCATTCAATATTTGTGAAGGCCTTTCTGCTGATTCTGGTTTTTCAAAGGATAACTTTATTTCGTGCATAAGTCAACAACTGCATAAGAGAGAGAGAGAGAGGGAGAGATTGAGAGAGAAAGAGAGAGAAAGAGAGAGAGGGGGGCGGAGAGAGAGAGGGAGAGATTGAGAGAGAAAGAGAGAGAGGGGGCGGAGAGAGAGGGGGAGAAAGCGAGAGAGAGAGAGCGAGATGGAGAGAGAGGGGGGCAGAGAGAGGGACGGAGAGAGAGAGAGAGAGACACACACACACACACAAAGAGAGAGGGAGGGAGGTCGAGAGAGCGAGAGAGAGAAAGCGAGGGAGAGAGAGAGGGCGGAGAGAGGGACGGAGAGAGAGAGAGAGGGGGGGGGGGCGGGAATAAAATCGTCAATGTAAATGTTTTGTATTCGATTGTACAGAAACCAAAAAAATACGCCTTTTAATATATATTTAGTACTGTATCATATAAAGTAGAGCATAATGATGAATTAACTGTATCATGCATTTATGTTGTCTGTCTAGGACTCGTTGGTGTGGATGAGACTTCAAACATGGAAAACTAATGTTTTAGGGGTGTTTGGGTGGAGGGGATAAACCTCATGAGTTCCAGGGACTATTTAAATACACGTAAACCCATTTTTCCATTTGACTTCATGTAAACCTAGATGACTATATCCACGTAGCCCGGAAAGGGGTGGGGGCGGGTTTGTTTAAACACATGTAAACCCATGGACTATTTGACTTCATGTAAACCTTTGGGACTATTTAAACGATAGTAAACCTCGGATCATCTTTAAATCACGTAAACTTAGGTGACTGATTAAAACCAATGGTTGACGTAAACTTAGAGGACAGTTTGCAATTCACGTAAATCTAAAGAATATTTAAGTCCACGCAAACTTTAAAATGTTTTGAGTCCATATAATCCTAAGGGGATATTTAAATCTACTTGTAGCGTCTATCATTTGCAATATCAAAGAATTATACAAAAGACACGCACAGTGAACAGCTCGCTCTAGACTCTTACAGATGTCGCCTCTTCTAGACTAAAGCGCCAATATATCATCTATATGGTTAGCAGTCACTTTGATGTCACTATCAGGTTAACTATCATATGTATGTATTGATATTCATTATCTACATGGCGTGTGGATGTTTTTTGCTATTCTAAATTCTTAATATGAACTGCTTAGCACTTTGTATGGTTTTACGCTTGGTTGGTGTTTACGAAAATGATCCTTGATGGAACATATTAGATTTTAAATGTTTTGAATAATGTAACGATTAATTTTGTTATAAATCATGTTTCTTTGTAGATGGATGAAATATGACAGAACAGTTTGTTTCATCAACAGCTTTAAATGTCAACTGTGGATAAATCTATCACCCCTTCGATAATCCCTTTAATATGTCTGGCGTGACCTAAGGTCACTTTAACCGAAATATCGTTGTCTTTAAGTTACATCTCTGTCTGACCTGAAGTTGGATCAGGATACTGAATTTATTCACAAATAGTACGTTATCTATTATAATTGTATTATTTTGTGTATTATATTGTAAAGAATAATTCATATCGAATATGCAGAGCCTCTCTCCTGAAGAGATTCATCATTATCAGGAATGTAAACAAATATTGGTGATGACAGATCGTGTTGTCAGAACCACAGACCCATGCCGAACTTCTTCTACGTTTTAAGTAAGACTTAGGAATTGCTGATATAAACATGATCCACATTAAATGGGCATGCATATCGTATATACCCAGAGATAAGGTAAAATCAGGAAGGTCGAATACATCCGTCAACGGAGCAAAAGACGCGTACTCTACTGGATCACCTGGTCTTATACTCCTTGTACTAATTCAGGAATTTCCATGTGCATCTTCCTTTTGTTCATACTTTGCCTTAGTTTTATTGAATATGAGTTTGGCTTATCATGTTGATATGTTGGTATTTTCTTATTTTTTTTTTTTTTTTAGTATTTTGGATTCAGATTCCCTGATAATTTTTGTTCAAATCACATTCTGAATATAAAATATATTAACAATGAGTAATGCGGAGAAAATAAAGATAGCTATAAGTTTATTTAAAAGGTTAAAAGAATCATTCGATCAAATTGAACATGATAAAGCCTAGTCTCTTATACTTTGCAAATGTATCAATGAAAACTATCTTGCTGTGCTTAGCAAATCTAACATAACCTGTTATACTGTACAATGTTTCAATGAGTACATAAAATATTACACTGCACAATGTACAATATATATAATTAAGAGGTGGTACGGTTTACAATCCGTAACTCGTAAAATTATTTGAATTTTTTGTGAAACCCTCTTACTTAAGTCCAACAACTTTGGATATATTCGTATCTTCAAATCAAGTCGCCAAAAACAAGCCTTTAATGAAAACAATCCTGTATTATAAATAAGGTTAAAGCGAAAAAAATCTATAGTAAAATAAGATTATAGTGAAAATAAGGTTTTAATTTCTTACATAAATAAAGCTGCACGTGCTTACTATTGTTGAAAATTAGCCGCATCCTATTTTCGAGTTTTTATTTGATTCCGTATGTGACCGACGGCCATTTTCGTTCACTTGGAAAACATTTCTCCTACAGTCCAAAGCACTGTAAAATTGTAGTGTACAGCCTCATAAACTACAGTTTGGTAGACTAACAACACATCCGCGATTACAACACAGAATGTAAATATTACCAAGTTATACAATACACGAAAGATCGTATTTTCGGTATATGCAAGAAATATGTACAGTAGCACATTTGCATTAGACTGACATCAGAAGTAGATCTCTCACTTAGGTTTTACATTAAACTGGATATCACATCTACAGATTGAGGGGGATATTTTGATGAAGATGATATGTGTTTACATCGAACTTGACACAACATCTACAGATTGAGGGGGATATTTTGATGAAGATGATATGTGTTTACATCGAACTTGACACAACTTCTACAGATTGAGGGGGATATTTTGATGAAGATGATATGTGTTTACATCGAACTTGACACAACATCTACAGATTGAGGGGGATATTTTGATGAAGATGATATGTGTTTACATCGAACTTGACACAACTTCTACAGATTGAGGGGGATATTGTGATGAAGATAATATGTGTTTACATCGAACTTGACACAACTTCTACAGATTGAGTGGAGTATTTCGACGAAGATGTATTATTACGCTTAAGACAAAGTGCCTTATAAAGAGAAAACACCCTGTTGTTCCAAACGAAGCTGGAAAATATCGCCACACCCTGAAAACCAGTCAGAAATGTTACGATAAAACTAAACACCGACAAAGGGAAAAACGAGTCTATGATTAGAAATATCCATGTAATGCCAGTTATAGAAAATAACTTCACATATATCACGAAATCAAGTCTTTGCGCCTTTGTACTTTCCACCTTTGGTGTCGACCCAATTTGTATGGCAACACGAATAAACATGAACAAGTTGATAATACATATCAGCACAACTGGTGCTAAAAACGTCACGTACAACGAGACTTTGTTAGAAATGAAACAAGATCCTCCACCATACCCAATCTCGGTGAAACCGGAATTGACGTCATCAACACGTGATATGACGTATGACGTGATAATGTTGACAAGAACAACTAATGCCGGTGTTCCATACGAGTATAAAATGTATGTTGTTATTGTTTTTCGCACGTTCCTGTGTCTCGCCGTCAATGTGCTTGTAGCAAACACGCTATACATATGATAGGTGCAGATATTCATACAAGCAAATGTTGCCAGCCAAAAGTAATGTGTGAAAACTCCAATAGACTTACATAATGAGGCATGGGATGTCTTATCAAAACCAAACTGAAAAAATGCTTGCGAGAAGAACATTGCGAAAACAAGGCTCATATTATTTACTCCCGGAACTGAACGCATCGCACGGAATAACGAATATGTACAAAATGTAATGAACAGGAATAATAGCGAGGCAGCTGTACAAACAAGTGTTGTTACAGATAAAGCTTGTCTGAAAGTGTCGTCCTTCGTACTGGCCGTGTACTCGTCTAGGATTTCTAGATAGTCGTTCAAACAAAGCTGTACACTGTGATCGGGCATGCGCAGAAATTTATCCTGGTGAAACTTCTTAGAAGTATATTTCAGAGTAAGCTCTAGCGTTTCTAACTTAATGCTGTACTCCTCTGGATCCAACACAACATGGCGACAAGTCAAGACCTCTGACACAAGGATTGCACGAATGCTTGGCAGAGTGATCCAGCTTTTGTAGGCTTGCAGAACTTTTTGAACGCAGTAGCCGTTGAAGTTGGAACCAGGAACTGATGGCAGAAGATACGCTTCACTGGCTGGTCTCGAAATGAACGAGACTTCTGATATTACGAAATTCTGCTTTATCAGGTTTAACAATGTCTGCTCTGTTTGCAGTCTCTCAACGACTTTCACTATGGTGAAGGTTGTTTGGATCAGGAGATGCACACCTTTTGACTCAGTCAGATTGTTAATGTCACAAGAAATATTTGACATGATATGAAACGATATGATATACAACTCTTCTAAAGACAATCTCTTTTTTATTTCAGAAAGCACTGACAGTCTTGTATCAGCAAATAGTGTTTGTTTTGTGCTATCAATGGTTCCTTCGAGCGAAAAGGCCAGAATATATTTCAGGCGAGTGGTAGTTCTCAGCAGAGGGAAGCATTCCGACCCGTCAAGTACCTTGCCCGGGTAGCAGGACAGCAGGCGACGTCGGGACTGTAATGAACGCATGAATTACTTAAGTAGTAAAAAATGTAGTTGTGTATTTTTTTTATAAATTCAAATTTTTTGAAATAAGAATAATATCTTTCATTATATTGAAGAAGTATAAAATATATGATGTGTATGAATGCGTCATGCTTGAAAATTGCTTGTCATGTAAACAGATTTCATTGTGTGATCGTCACTCTTTTATGGCATTCTAAATTCTGTAACGTCTAAAAAGACTAGATATATCCAATTTGGCAAAACATCTGTGTACTTACAACGATAGGGTCGAATATATGAGAATCGTTCATCTCTACAGGGTCCTGTACCACTTGTGAGACAAAGGGCTGAAACAAATTCTGCAAAATGATTTTCTGATGGTGCGAAAACCATATGTCGATTTTGCGTTCAAACAAATGCATTTTAAACGTGATCGGCTGAGGAAAAGGAATCTTTGAGTCGTTTGAGGTACAGTATAGACAAAAGATATTTCCATAAGGAGACATACTAATCACTTCAGGCGCCTCTTGGCATGCATCATAAAAACGATTGTCAACTGTCGGACAAATTTTGTTGGGTTTCGTAGTGTTGGTTACTGACAGAGGATTACATATGAAACAAAATACATTTCTGTATAGGTCATATTGATTTTGAAGAGAGGATTCCTCACATGCCCAAAGGATATCTGGATCAAATTCTGACCAATGTCCGGTGATGTTGCATTTGTTTATAATCGACTCAGTTGAGGACGTCTTTGAATGTTTACACGTTTCATGACTGACCACTCCTTTAGATGATGTTTCTAAGATACATCCAATTCGTTTCGCAAAATTAATGACGTCATACATAGTAGTATGGTACCTTAAATTCAGATCTTCTTCGCACTGCATGTCAATTGACCAAGGGAGAAAACTATCCGCCGATACGTTTTGTACTGAGTTCCATCGAGAATTCTGGTTACAAATAAAACAATCAAAATTTTTGTAAAGAACTTTGTTTCTTCCTGAAACAGGTATGGTAGAATAAATATCGTAATGGGAAAGGAGACATCTTGATTGAACAACGTCGATCGAATTGGTCTGCGAGCAACCATTGATGAAGTAGTGATTTGGCCCATATGTCGAAATATTTGGTCTCTGACAAGAAACAGAATATTCAAGAGCAATATCAAGGCAACAGTTCAATGAAGTATCTACAAAACACACAGGGTTACAAGTACAGCTGTAATTCCCGATATTGTAAGGTTGTTGACAGCCTCTGTAATATCCTGTCACACTGTAGTCGTATAGCAATAGCTTTGTGGTATTTACCGACCATTTATCTGTCGCGCCTTTTTCAGATTTCCCCGAATTTTGAGTTTGTGTCGACGAAACAATTGTATCATAATAGTCAACATTGTAAGATGTGAATAAAAACTTGTACACAAACGTAAGTTTTCCATTGCTAGAACGAAAATGGATATCTTCAGTCATCTTGTCTGTATACACATCGAAATACGGAGACGAATGACTGTTGTTTCGGTTACAAAGGAAGCAAAATATGTTTTTATAGGGCACCGTGTTTGGTGATTTAGCATGAACCTCACATGCTCGTTCTAAGCTATCCATTCTTTGATTCCACAAACCAGTTACATTACAAGAAGATATTACATTATCATTGTAAGCTGGGGGATTACACATAAAACAAAATATGTTTGTATAAAGTCCATGTCTGAGACTGTAGATCGAGTTACAGGCTAGGTCGATGTCCTGATCGTATGTTACCCAGGCGCCTGTTACATTGCACTTTGACCTCGACAAAACGTCGACGAAGTCTCGGTCGCATTTATGCATATCGTCGTCAATTGTGCTAAAGCCGACACCACAATCCTCAGAATCAACTTTTTCGAATATCTCATCAAAAGAAGAGTAGAAATTAAAATCAGTCAGCTCTGGACAAGTCATTGATAAACTCCACTCGTTGTAGTCAAATACGCCATTGCATTCAGCACAAAATTTATTTTTAAATGTTTGTCTGTACCGACGTGACGTCACAGGTGGGAACTCTACCCGTCCAGCTTTAAAAACAATATCGTTAGTTTCACATGATCCTCTCCATGTATCATTGACAGTATTACTTAAACACGAATTCGTCATGAACACATCATTTGAAAGGTGGAAAACTTGTCCATCGGCGATTGAAGAATCAACACAAACAGGAAGTGGTAACGAAAAAATCACATCTACACAACAATTGCCGTCTGTGGTGCAATCTCGGTCACATCTGCAATCCGCACATATTTCTGTGCGACGAGTTTTTATAATATCAAATCCAAACGTCAGCTTTTCCGGGTGACAAAAATATTCTGGACCACAAAGAAGAAAGAACTGGTACAACAGGTTTGTAGTATTGGAAATAGTCGCTGTCTTATTTCCATCGTTAAGTGACATTGAACTAAGACGACCAAGCATCAGTTGACACAGAACAATCCGGAAGTAGAAACCCAACATGTTGATTTACCTGTAAAGCTAGAAAAAATATTATTACATGTTTTGAATCCGTTATTATCGACATCCTAATGATATAACGTTTACGTGACAGTTCTAAACTTTAACATAATGCATATCATCAAGAAAGTTTAAACATTCTCAACAGTTGAGGCCTTACCACCATTTTTGTATCAAATGTTACACTGCTTGACATATACAGTACACACCACATGTCTCAAGCACGGTTATTCTGGTGTTTTATTATGAATAGTTAATTGATCTGATGATTTCCTCATGTAATTACTCCAAAAGATGTATACCTTAAATCCAGATATTTTCGTGGTGGGAATATTTTCACTATTCGCTGTCCGTTAACGTGATCGCGAAAATTTAGTGCGTGAAATGTTGAGCCACGTGTGTAAGATAACCTTCCACGTACGTATCGCGAAATCTTAATTCGTTAAGATATAATATGATCGTTTTAAAAGGAGATCGCGAAAGTTTTGATCTGTGAAAATTAACAGCTTTACGGTGTATGTAGATAAGGAAATCTTACCTTTCGTCTGTAATGTGAAAGTGGTACCAGTATATATTGGAGTCAATACCCAGCTATCTGTAGCTAATCACAGGCCTATCCACGGCTTTACTAAGCAGGCTGACAACGAGACGGGTTCTAACTCTACTTTATACACGTCATAACGGCACTTGTATTTTAATCTATAAATTATATTGATATTCTAAAATCATATATTATTTTAACATTAACCCAAAGCAAATAATAGTACTGATATTGGAGACAGTTAATCTACATTTGGTCGCGCACAATTTAATATGGGTGTCATATTTTCTCACGTGGAGAAATGGAATTTCTGGAAATACCTAGGGATTGCAATGATAAAGTATGGAATGGATGAAACACCAATCTCCTTTCAGACTGCCTGTACTGCCACTGGGACGAAAATACAGCGTGACATTTTTTTTTAGTTTACTAAACATTTTTCGTCCATTCTCGTCAAGCCTCAGTCAGTTGCACTTGTTGCACAGTTGACGCATACAAGTGTTATATGAAAAAAAGGAAAAGATGTTTTCGAAAACTCGCGAAATACAGTTTTTAAATTAGAGTTGCAGTCTCATTGTGATATTGCTTACTCAAGAATTTGAATTAATAGTACTTGGATCTTAAAGACCTCCAAAGAGCCTTTTCCCGATCCTTAAAGTCCTCTTCTAAAAAACTATCCTACAAAAACATTTGGGTTTTCTACACTCGTTCAAAACTGAAGGCATACTTTTGCTCTTTTAAAATGAGAGTTATCTGTTTTTAGAAAAAGTGAACGGTGGTACACATATTTATAGTAAACTATACTGAAGTGTATTTCTTAAAAATAATATTTTCAAATCAAAGTTTCACTTTCAAATATATTGATGACGTCTTGTCTTTAAATAAAACACGTTTATTAACTATGAGTATCGTACATAACCGACAGAATTAGAAATGAAGGACAGGACAGATTTTGCTTCATCAAGCTGTAAACTGGCACTGTGCCTTCATTGATACACGTCCGATCATCATATGTAACTTAATCTATGAATAGCATTGACATCCTGTAATCAGATATGATTGGACATTAATCTAGAACAAATAACAGTCCTGACATTGGAGAGGATAAATGTACATTTCGTCGTGCACTGTAAACAACGGTGTTGTATTTCTCACGTGGAGAAGCGAGTTTACGGGGAACACAGGACCTAGACTGTGAAACAGACCGTTTAATATGATAAAGTGAACGACATATTCTGTATTGAAATAATATGATACTCGGATATTGAGGCAAAGCGTAAGTTATAAAACATTCTACTTTCTATTTACGATGGGTCGTATTTCTACAAAAAATCACAAAATGAAATCAGATTTTGCAATGGGTCTCCGTTTGTAATGGTGATACCATAATGTATATCTATTCAACCTGAAACTATAGTGAGATGGAAAATACTAAATTGTAAAAGACTTTTTTATTAAAATGTCAATAACCTACCAATTAATGCGGAAAATCACTAAAAATGGCCATATAAACTTTATCACAAAGTACACCTAGTGAGCGACACTCCATAAAAAGTATCAGTGTATCAAATAGATACTAGCTATTTCTAAAAAGTTCTACGTAAGAATAAAGTTAATACATCAGAAATAAAAAAAGTCGATCGATTAACTGATCGCGAATTTTCGTTTGGACTTCATACGATCTATATAGCAGCTCGATATTTCACCGACCCGAAGATCAAATTTCCGTCATGGTCTCACGGGTAATGACGGATTTTGACACAGTTATTAACATTCAAGTCATAACTGAATATTTGCATGATATGTAAAATTTAAATTAAATGTTATTTGGAAGTAGTAAATTTTATTCCAGTGTTAGAATTCAAGATATACATATGTATTTGACGTTGTTCTGATGGTAACAGTTATATAAAATAAAATTGAATTAAGAAAAACAAAATAAAATTAAAAAAAAAAAAACGAAACTTATTGTATTATTGAGCTAGTTCACTTTCCCAGCTACATGTAGGTTTTAATATTAAGTTATTACGATCTTCCTCAGTTGGCTCCAGGAGGGCTTCATGGTTTTGTTGAGTCCTAGAGGGACGAGACAGCTGTGTGATTCAGATTAATTTATCGTTTGGCTCAAAATATAACCAGTTAGAACCAACACAATACTTCTAAACACAGCATATAACACAACCCAACCATCCTGAGAATCTCATTCTTAAGAAAACTTAAAAGTATTCTAGATAATCTCAGCCTGTCATATCACTGTCTACTTTAACGTAACTTATCTTGTCATAAACCTCTAATAACCCTTCTGACTCTGCACATTCACACAAATCGCATATATTATAATTATGATTATACAAGTGAACAGACGTATGCAGTGTGCAGTCTGGTAATTGAACTGTTTTCCGATATCAATATAAAGGATTTTTCATACATGTCTATACCACAGCCAGACCGATTTGTGTACATGCAGATTTGATAATGCACATCTTTGTACGTTCTTGTTCAATTACACACCTTTTCGACATAAAACCCTATTAGTTATGATGTTATTAGGCTGTTATCGACATTAAAGTTTCATAAATATATCTTTATCTATAATACACCCGGTAATAGGTACGCAATTTTTATTTTGTTTACCTGGACGCATGCGAAGCGTATCTAGGCTGATATCCGTAAGTTACCTCCCTTCCTTTCATTCCGTCAGATACGGAATATTAATAATAAAAGTTTGACATCTGTTTAAGGCTGGGGATGACACATCACCGGTGATGTGGTGACATCCCTGTAACTGGTGGTAGATACTCACTTTCACAGATATCCGGCACTCCGACAGTTTCTCAATACAGCACGCGACAAACCACGGGTGGAAATAAGGTATGTATGGGTTACCCCCAATTCTTTAATTTCCCTCATTCTATTTCCTTTTTTTAATTTCGTAGAAAATATTAATGTTCGTGTTTTCTTAATAAGTAAATCTTCTTGCCCGTTTCAACTGAAATTAATATGAGAGATTAATATAAGACAGTTTTTGTTTCTCAATTGCTCAATTAATGAAGTTATTACTTACCCAAAAGTCAAAAGGTACAGCACATTTTTGTCAACCTGTAATTAAAAAAATAACATCCTAAATTGTTCATGGGTATACCTTGCCACTGTGTAGTTAAGGTTATTTAAAAGCAAAATATATCACACATTTTTGTCGGTCGGTAATTGAAAATAAAACAACATGAATCTTTCATTGAGAACTTCCCCTTTCTTCATACATATTCACTGAAGCATCTGTAGTGACCCGTCTTTTCTTTCCCGTCAGTCACTTTATTCGTATTTTTCTAACTTTCGCAACACAAACAATTTTAAATAATTAATGTTGTTTTACCTTTTAGATGGCTAAACGGAATACTCGGAGAAGTCGTGGACAATCTTTTGTGCATTTTATACGGAAGCATCTGCTTGTTATCCTCATGATGACTTCGATGCTGTTCGGAATCGGACTTGGCTGTCTATTAAGACTCTCGTGGTCACATTTTGAAAAAAGGAAAATTTTCTACCTGAAGTTTCCAGGAGACATAATGCTAAACACTCTACAGATGCTATCTGTTCCTCTTGTCGTCTCCAGTATTATTTCGTCTCTAGCCTCGCTCTCGATGAGGACTTCCGGTAGTATTGGACTGAAGGCACTTGTGTACTATCTTCTTACCACGGTGTGTGCTGTTATAACTGGTACTGTGGGTATAACTATTGTATCTAGTGGCACGGAAGCAACATCGGAAGCAAGAGAACTGTCCAAGGGCATCAGCCAATTAGATTCACTGCTAGATATGATGAGGTAAATATTAAAATTTTAGAATTGTTATTTGGAAGGGAAAGTTCTTATGACGATACCTGATAACGGTGTTAAGGAACGACAACTCTGGTAGAGTTTGATTGTGAAGTATAGCGTGTGGTACATATAGTGTCATTTGTAGTCTCATATTCGTTCTAGTGTTGTCGCCGAAGTCGTTTCTGCATTTTCTGACCAGTCGCTTTATCGCTTGGAAAACATTGCGACCGTGGTTACATGAATTCATAGCCGTAGATTCGACATAGCTTTATTATAGAATAGCAGGCTGGGGAATGATGCAGGTTGCTCTTTCAGTCATGCTTAAATTTCGTTAAGTGCTAATATTGCAAAAGTAACTTGTACCTTTTGGTAGACTCTGATGGCAGATGATAGTTCCCTAGTATGCATAAGCCTGCACGCAATGCCTTATTTCAACATCCATACTTCAACACCTTCAGAAATAAACTGAAATGTGAATCTTTAATTATTGAACTAATTCACCTCACCATCTAGATTTTGATATTTCATTCGGCCATTTTTGTTGCAGCACACAATTGAAATAGCTTAAAACATCGAAACATCACCACTCGATCTCTCGTTTAAATCCTATTGACATGTGTTATACACCTGTATCTGACAAAGAACGACCTGTACAGGTAGAATTGTACAAGTACATTTGTAGTGCTTTTATCATATTTTACCAGTGAAATAAAAAAAAATATATCTCATTGATGAATTGCAGACTTGCGTTAATAAAAAGAGAGCACACAGATCGACTGACAAAACTGACGAATCAGAAAGCCCGGTACAAAAATCCCACAAAACCAGACATCTGAAGGGGTTGTTTACTTGTGATACGAACTTCAATTCCACGGTAAACTTCAATTTCCATGAAAGTCAGCAAACAATGCAACGCAAATGACCTTATCAGAGATCAAATCCAACCCCAACCGAAAGTCCTGAATGTGGAGTTAACACGTTAAACATTTCAAGGAGATTCGTGTCATCAACAGCTGGCAACTGTAGGTTGCCGCCATATTTTCAGCCGCGTAGTAACTTGTCACAGGTAAACTCTCTTTGAACGCTTTATAGCAAATTTTGTCTGTTAGTGACACGAATAAATAATATTGTTGATGTGAATTTGAAAATAAATTTACATTAAAATTTATTTTTGTGCTTACATGTTTCAATGATTTAAAAATAACGGACCATATTTTGTCGCGTGCTGCAACGTTATAATGAGTGAGTAGTGTCCGCGAAAAGTCTAGACAGCTTCCTCGTTTGATATATATTCTAAACATGCCTTTACTTGTAACTTGTACGTGGGGCTCCTGTTGACGTCACCCGAATATATCCAACATTTTCAACCCTTGCTTCGTCAATTCACTTCTCTCCTGAAAAGTTTAGATTCATTTTTCCATCAGCTGTCAAAATATGTCGCTGGAAACGTGATACTACGATCAAGGACGATATAACTGTGACACGTGAAAGTTACGTAAGTTTATCATAGATTGATGTGTTTTTGATACGGCTTGTTGGGGAAAATAGTCTATTACAACCACTTATCTACCGTAGTAAACAACAGCTGTTGAATTATTTCAATTAAAGTAGTCCATCCATTACTTACATTACAAGGCTTACAGAAAGATACTTACTAATGACTTGCAGATAGAAGATTTTGTAATTTTCGAGGAATTGATATTTTTTTCCAATTAATTCTTTTTTGTTTTCTTTTTTTTTTTTTAATTAAGATATGTTAATCATACACAATATCACTGAAATTGATCATATGATTTATTACTGTCTCTGTTGAATTATATCATATTGTAATGAAAACTTTTCTAATGAAAAATTTTGTAATGAAAACTTTTGTAATGAAAAAAATTTGTAATGAAAACTTTTGTAATGAAAAATTTTGTAATGAAAACTTTTCTAATGAAAAATTTTGTGATGGAATGTTGTCTATTTTACTGAATTTTTGTCTCAAAAACTGTCGGCTTTTAAGGCATGATCTATCATTTTCATTTCTATTAGATTTTAACATGTGATTCAATACAATAAATAAACAAATATAAAATATAATTTTGCATAATTATTTAAAAATTATGGTCGATGAGATCAAACTAATCTTTTCATCTCGTCCACAAGATGTCGCACATGGAACGTGTGATAAATATCTTGTTTTCTAGTTTTGGCATGATTGTACTGCGTGTAATTTGGATGTGTATTATGCGGTGGCTATTTCAGATTTAGAGTATAGCTCTTTATTGACGAGAATATGGGATTTTAACAGTGACTTGACAGAGTTACTTCCCTTTCCGTTTGTGTTGCCTTTATTTATCATTGGTCCAATAACCGGAAACAGCAGTCTAAGGGAAAATAAATTAATTTAATTTCGAGACAAATGAAGACACCGAGGTGAAAATTTGTTTTGGTATATATGAATATTACTTGGTTATCAGAAATTGAAAGGTTATTTTCCATAAGGGAAGACAGTAACAAACACCGACGCAGAATTGTATATATATCTTGTCGTCTTCTCGCGAGAGTGATTAAAGTACATTGTAAATTACTCCTCTGACATCAAGATCTTTGTATTACCAAGACATTTAAATCCAAACCAGCCTACACCTTGCAATGTGTACTCTGTTAAAATATCATTTGTTATTCAGACTGATAAAATTACATTCTTGTATCAAAACTTGATGTTTTGAGCTACATTTATGTGAACGCTCATTAGTTGTTGTTTTTTTCAAATTGTGTAACTTGCTGTTCGCTTGTTTAGATATATGTGATATCCTCTTTATTTACATTTTCTTTCAGAAATGCTTTTCCAGCGAATCTTGTGGGAGCGACAATTTCAAAGGTAATGATTAGCTTGTGGAATAGACAGATGTCTGATTTGTTTTACCTCTGAATTAAACATATAAATATACTTAATTATATAACGATTCTATAAAAACACGCACGGGAATAGCACCTTCTAATACAAATTGGGAATAAAATATAATTGTTTCAATAAGTGAATCAGGATATCAGAAACCTGGAGAATAAAATTCTACCTCTGTCACATTTAGTGTCTACCTCTGTCACATTTAGTGTCTACCTCTGTCACATTTACTGTCTACCTCTACCATATTTAGTGTCTACCTCTACCATATTTAGAGTCTACCTCTACCATATTTAGTGTCTAACTTAACCAGTCTGAGTGTCTACCTTTTCCATATTAAGTGTCTACCTCTGTCACATTTACTGTCTACCTCTACCATATTTAGTGTCTAACTTAACCAGTCTGAGTGTCTACCTTTTCCATATTAAGTGTCTGTCTACCTCTGTCACATTTAGTGTCTACCTCTACCATATTTAGTGTCTAACTTAACCAGTCTGAGTGTCTACCTTTTCCATATTAAGTGTCTACCTCTGTCACATTTAGTGTCTACCTCTACCATATTTAGTGTCTAACTTAACCAGTCTGAGTGTCTACCTTTTCCATATTAAGTGTCTACCTCTGTCATATTTAGTGTCTACCTCTACCATATTTAGTGTCTAACTTAACCAGTCTGAGTGTCTACCTTTTCCATATTAAGTGTCTACCTCTGTCACATTTACTGTCTACCTCTACCATATTTAGTGTCTAACTTAACCAGTCTGAGTGTCTACCTTTTCCATATTAAGTGTCTACCTCTGTCACATTTAGTGTCTACCTCTACCATATTTAGTGTTTAACTTAACCAGTCTGTGTCTACCTTTTCCATATTAAGTGTCTCCCTCTGTCACATTTAGTGTCTACCTCTACCATATTTAGTGTCTAAATTAACCAGCCTGAGTGTCTACCTTTTCCATATTAAGTGTCTACCTCTGTCACATTTACTGTCTACCTCTAACATATTTAGTGTCCAACTTAACCAGTCTGAGTGTCTACCTTTTCCATATTAAGTGTCTACCTCTGTTACAATTAGTGTCTACCTCTGCCACATTTAGTGTCTACATCTACCACCTGTAGTGTCTACCTCTACCATCTGTAGTGTCTAATCCTACCATTTGTAGTGTCTAATCCTTCCACCTGTAGTGTCTTCCTCTACCACTTGTAGTGTCTAATCCTACCACCTGTAGTGTCTACCTATACCATTTGTAGTGTCTAATCCTTCCACCTGTAGTGTCTTCCTCTACCACTTGTAGTGTCTAATCCTACCACCTGTAGTGTCTACCTCTACCACTTGTAGTGTCTAATCCTACCACTTGTAGTGTCTAATCCTACCACCTGTAGTGTCTGCCTCTACCACTTGAAGTGTCTTTCTCTGCCAACTGCATTCCAAAAGTCACTGCTGAGATGCGAGAGTTACTTCCCCTTGTTCAGAAGGCGTCATAGACCTGACAGAGTCAGTAGGCTTAATGAACTCCCCCAATGAATTGTAACACATTTCAACACTGGTTTAAACTTCATCTAGGACTCGTCGCTAATACCAAGAGATAATGTATCTTTAGATGAGACTTACATTTCTCAAACATTTTTTTTCAGCAACAATCAATGCTTGTCACACACAGTGTAGAGATCGTCGATGACACAAGGTCAAACCACTCGAACGTAACTGGAGGAAACATGTCAAGTAGAACCCTTTTTACATGTTCACTATATATAACAGACACCGTCTGTTCTTCCTGTCTTCATTTTCATCTAATACTATCTAACAATATCGGATATCACCTTAATTACAGAAAAAAACTCATTTCGCGTTAAAGTAGAAAAAATCGTAGAAATATTATAATAATCATTTTTCAAAATGTCCAGTTTGCAGATCTTCATTTCCATGTTTTGCTCATCTGTTCCTTTATGTTAAGATGTCCTGGTGAGATATGAATGTAAGAAACAGCAAATCACAAAGGACCTTATATCCATCATTGTATCTGCATTATTTAGTCTAAACTATCATTAGTCATAAGTTTTCTTAAGTTATATTGTACAGGTGTGTCACTTGACGGGATAAATTTGCCAGAAAAGCAATTAAGTGGTCATGCATACGAAAAATAATTTGAGAGAGATGCATACGAAAAATAATTTGAGAGAGAGAGAGAGAGAGAGAGAGAGAGAGAGAGAGAGAGAGAGAGAGAGAGAGAGAGAGAGAGAGAGAGAGTATAAGTTTTGTATTTGTGTGGAATGGGAAACATGTGCAAAGAGAAGCAAACATGACAATTATGTGGTCAGTATATTAAGGTTGGGTATCATTAATGAATAATTCTGCTAACATCGCAAATATCAAATATCACCATATTATCAAACCCTGCTACTCTACTCTTACACTGTAAAATACCCAAATAATATACATTACACAAGTCTGATCTTTTATTGAGGAAACAAATTATCGATTCGCTAGTGTTTTTCTGTAAATGAACGTTAAATGGCACACGACAGATAACCTGTATTACAGCCTTTAGTGTGCGTTTCACGTTTTCTATGAACTATGTATAATCGTTACAAAAGCTCATCTTGGAACTACACAATGATTTCTGGCCAGTCACATATAATTGAATGAAAAATTAAGCAAATTCACTGAAACATTTAACTACGTTGCGATGAAAAAGCCTTTAATAAAAAGTGAAAAGGTCATACGTAAATCTGAATTTCTCGATGTTCCAATCACCCGATCATTTAAAAACTTATCATATCTAGTCCATTTTGATTCCTTAAATAATCGGAGTAATTCTTGATCAAGCGTAAATTGGAAATATCCGGAAAATCCAATTTGCATATTTAAATAACTCATTTAAATATGTTGTCAAGTTTGGACATAGTGACGTTTAAAATCACCCCTTTTCAAAGCAACCACTCCCCCACCGTCCTCCCTTTAGTGTTTTTCTTATATTGGTGTCATGGCGTCGTCTATGTGGCGGTTGAGTCATTTGCATACATGGTGCTGTTTCACTTAAAATTCAACACAATGAATAAATCCAACCTGTCAAGAGGTATTTATGTTTAAAATTACCAGATACGTAGAAATATTTTCGCTAAAACGCAACAATATGGTGTGATTTTGAAGTTCTGGTGTAGCGGATCTGTTTCACATACGTTCAATATACGTTACCTAGCCTTTGATACGTAATGATACCATGTAAACAAAATTAATAGAAATTTGTTAAACGGATGTGAAGATCGAAATTTAATACCACAATTTATGAAAAGCAATGCCCGACATTACTTCACTATCTGATTTCATTGATAATTTTAAATTAGTGTATTTTGAAATGAATAGATTTGAAACACCGCGATTAAAATTTGTCCTGTTATATATAAAGAAAACAAAAGCGTGCTTGATACACGTCTTCAAAAAGAAGCCAAATGTGATTTTCCTGGCTAGCCTGGCTTGTTGCATGAACAAAGATCCCAAAAAAGTGCTCTTCCTATCTATACCCCTAAACGCTTCACTGAATGCGGCCGTTCTATGTTCGTTACGGTATACTGAGGTTTTATACAATGTTGGGGGTCCCTGTTGAATGCTTGTTACTGTGTCTTCTTTTCATGGCGTTTATGAATGAATTTCCGTTATTGTCTGTACAAAACGTTAAACCATAAGAGATGTGTGATCCCAACAGTTTCCGTCTTTCAATTCTTTTATTTAACTTTTAATCAATTGCTAACAAATTGCATCCTGTCGATATAATATATGACCAAGTTAATACATGCATGTTAATTTATAAAGAATGCAGATATTTTTCAGAGTTAACTTCACCCTTTTTCAGAATTCACACACATTACCAATTCTTCTTATTCTAAGCAATATTTCGTTGGTCCATTACTTTTATTCTTTAATGCTAAGTAGTTGTTTATTTTTTACAGGAAACTTTACTATTGACGTACCAACTGTCACTACCGTTGCCGGGACCAACATGCTCGGATTAATTGTGGTCTCTATCTGTGTCGGCTGTGTACTGTCTAAAATGGAAGACAAGGCCAAACCTCTGGTAGACTTCTTTCAGTGCCTGTACCAAGTCATGATACGGTTAATCATGATATTTATATGGTAGTATTTTCTGTTTGATATACTAAGATGATGCCTACAAACATATTGATAATATGTACTGCCCTGAACACATAAGATAAATGATACTGATGTTATATGCCTATTACAAGGATAACTAACACAGGCGAACACCAGATCTTCAAAATGCATGACATATTGATGAAAATTCAGGTGAATGATAATGATGTAACTTACAAGCCATATCGTCAATATGGCAGCATGAGACTTACATTTTTTTTACATTCATTGGTTTGTAAACCACATTGCTTCTCTACATATTTAATGTTGAATATGTAGGTAAGCCAAATAGCTGATTCCCTATTCATATCTTAATTTTTCCCCTCAGTTAGTCGTTTTAGTGTTCCTTCATTGAAGAAAACGGAAAATAACGCTTATAAACACACATCGTACTGGATCAGGGTACTATAAACAATATAGCTTTTTTTCGCGATAATACCTGGCTGCCACTAAACATAATCCTACACCAGCCATATTTGCAGTTTACGTTTTTGAAGAATAAAGTGCAATGGGAGTCCTAAGTTCATCAGAGTGGTTTGCAGTGCAAATTTAGATATTATGTTCATAAGCATTTGCCTTGACGTTTATCTTGATTTTCACAGGTTTACCCCTGTTGGACTAATGTTCCTGGTAGCTACAGCTGTAGTACAGATAGAGCGACCAATGGCAGTTCTGAAAGAACTATCTATCTTCATTCCAGCTGTGATAATTTGTCTTTTGTTGCATGGCTTTGTTACGATACCGACTGCGTATTTCTTGATGGTCAGAAAAAATCCTTATACATTCATTAACAACATGTCCAAGGCACTCGTGACTGCTTTCGGATCATCCTCGAGGTATGAATGACATTTGTCATCACAATCATTAAATTGTAAATTTTGCTTTTATTATTATTGATGATGTAAGCACTGTCTGATTCTGAATAGTGTCAAATTGAAAATCTAGTCTATAACACTGACCTCAGATGCTTACCACCTCCCTAACAACCGTCATCCTTAATTATCACTTTTTGGCACATTTAGTTTGTTTTTATTTTCAATTTGTCAATTCCTATGTTCATAAATCAAAATTTCTATCAAACAGATTACAAACCATCTTGGAATCATCTTTGCTGTTTCCTTTGACTTGAGCCAATAGAAGGAAAAGGATAATTCCTGTACGGTGTCGGGTCAGAAAATCAATTAGTCTTCGGTATATTGGTTTATGTAAAACGTTATAGTAGGCTAATGTGAATCCACTAGAGCCATATTTTTAGCATCTTTGAAAATCAATATCAGACATGAAGATATATTATTGTGTCACTGGTGAAGATTTCCTTTTCACGATGCATGTCTTTCTTGTTATAGTGCGGCAGCTCTGCCCTTCACAATGGACTGTCTGATAAACAAGAACAGGGTCAACAGTCGTGTCGTTAACTTCATTGCTCCGATAGGGGCCACCATCAACATGGACGGAACAGCTCTGTATATTCCAATGCTGATCATTTTTATTTCCAATCGTCTAGGACTGGTTTTAGATCCCGCCCGCTATGTTGTTATTGGGTGAGTCGGAGTTCAAAACAAAACATTGATTAATTTTGACTTATTGTCTATTAAATAATATCACTAATTATCTTTTGGATCTAACATATGAATATATTTTTAAACATCAAAGCAAAATTTTACATATTTTTCCAATATTAGTGTAAAACCCTTTTCGAAAATGAAACTGAAAAGACAAGTAAAGAAAGAGAGAGAGAGAGAGAGAGAGAGAGAGAGAGAGAGAGAGAGAGAGAGAGAGAGAGAGAGAGAGAGAGAGAGAGAGAGAGAGAGAGAGAGAGAGTGAGTGTGTGAGAGAGAGAGAGGTGTCAAAAACATATATCAGTTTTTTAAATGAAAATTATTATATTTTATACATAAACTACTATACTTGAAATTAACAATCACTTTTGTCGTTCCCTGCAGCCCTACAATATGTCATGGCAAAATTGAAAGTTTCATGTGCGACACATTGTGGGCAAGACGAAAAGCCTAGTTTGATATCGGGGTCGCATTACGGTATATTATTATGGCTTTGAAGTTGGGTGTCGCTCCTTCGAAATCTTTGATGGAGCGTGTCAGTCTGTGATTGGTCAGGTATTTCCCTGGAACCAATTAAATTACTTTGCTGGTGCCCTTAATTTCGCTATGACAGGGGTGCAGATACCGAAGGTGATTGTAATCCATGGAGTATCGAGGATATTAGGATGGAGGCGATTTTAGTCAAGAATACACGATCAAGTGTTTCTTTAAGTTTAGTCTGGAATATGCCCTTTAAACTTCACCGTCTGGCAGTATAGAGATAATCTTTTTTCGTAATAAGAATATTTGCAGAATTTGAAAACAATAACAGATTTGAATTTCCTTCTTCCAGACACATTTTCTCCTGTCGATTTTTGAGCTGTTGAGTATTATATAGTCAATCATGCTAGTGTTTAAATCATTACCGGAAACAAACGTGTATTCCAGACTTGTAGACCACGACTGAGTATTGGTGATATCAAGTGTCTTTCCAGCATAAAACCTTTCAGTATTTTACCTCTGTAATTTACCTCATCGTAATTCTTTTCACCATGTCTTTGTAATATGAGCTTAAAATAACTCATTACAATAATGGTCCCCTCCTCACCAAGCCTATCGCAAACGTTATACAGCTTATCGATAGTATCACGATAATCACTCTCATTAGAGGAGGATGACGAAAACCACAGCTTATACGGAGTCTGATACTTACGACTCTGACATTACCTTTACTATGTAGCGGCGTAGCCGTCAGACGCGACTCCAAATGTTATTTGCATTATCAGAAATCCGGCTATCGTATCTTGTTTATGACTTAAAATGCGTGTTTATGAAACCAAAACAGCTTACTTGTTGAGGAAGTAACCAGTGTTTACCCACAACAGCCACGTCAACTTCTGTTATCGTTTCACACAAATATGGCCCCCTCATCTTCCATGCCTGTAATATCATCTGAGATAAACAAGACATTTATAACAGCACAACTATTAAAACACAGATTTTGATACTAGTATCCATACCACTCGTTTCTAATATCAGAAACCGCCAACCGTTACTATGACAAGATATAAGTCTTTCTAATTCCGGCTAAAGAGATGCAAAGAATGAGAACAACCTTCGCAATCCCATTATCTCCTATTAAAAAATTATCAATTTTATCCAGTCATTGAAAAGTCAATGATATTAAATGTATTTTGGGATGGTGAAATATACTATATTGTTCAGTTACCAATATACATTAAAAAAAAAGAAAGACAAAAATATTCTCTTTCTTTTGATAGAATGTCGGCCATCGGGATGTCAGTAGGGGCAGCTGCCATTCCAGCGGCAGGTTTCATGTTTATGACAGTGGCTGCCCTGGCGGTTGGACTTCCTATCGAACAAGTCCTTCTTACTGCCCCTGTCGACTGGATTTTGTAAGTAAGAAATGGTTAACCGTTATAATATAACTACGGTAACCAGATGTAACAACAATCTAAATGAGATATTAATGTGCCTCTGGCCGATATTACAGGTCAAATAGTTTTATTGCTCCAGTTATAACTATACTGCTTAAACTCCAAAACAAAGTTATTCAGACATGTTAGTCATGCATTGTTCCATCCATACAGTGTGGCAATTCGCAAATCATTATAATATCTTAAGGTGAACATCATGAATATCTACACAAGGAACGGTAACTCCATCTAAAAGTTCTAAGATGATGCCACAGATAATTATATGTAACAGCCGTTCAATTCCTGTGTAGCAATTTACAGCTAACAGGTATAAGTATTGATAAGTATAATGAGTGTACGGATATGTAAGAGTATTACTGGATTGATTTTATCAATAATTTTGATATGGAATAGTTGATAATCGGAAATAAATTGTACTTATGTGATCTTTTCACACACGTATAAGTGAAGTTACACTCCTAGGCAATAAAAAAGAGCAGAACTATATTGTAAAGACATACAGTATGTACAAATGTATACAAATAAATAAGTTTTGTACGTATTTGTTCAAGAAAGGTAAACAATGACACTTTACTCGATGTGAATGACAATGTTAAATGGTTGCCGGATAAACAAAATACACGTTTAGTATCTTACAATACAACGTTTATCTTCTGGCTCAGAATAGAAAGTCGACGAAGGCTTGTCAAAAGGTTATGTTCTCGTTTTTACTTACTTCACCGAAAATAAGCCTTGTTGATAGGAACAAGGATTTCGTATTCGGAGGAGATACACCGAATGTTAGTTATTTGATACAATGTAATAATTGAAAGCTCTATATTAACACTTTACATCTCCAAAAATCAATGATTATATTTGTTTTTATATTCTTACAGTTCTTGCATGGACTAGAATAGAAAAATAATATGTGATCTCTCTTCAATTTCTGTGCAATGATATATTTTTTAAAGCTACGAAATACATGGATTTCATTTGAGTCTCATCTATAAAGCATAAGACGCTTACTCTTCCGAAATACCTGGTGCTATTCTCCTTGTACATTTTGCAGTACCCGTGTTAATATTTCTTTCGTTCATATTTTTGTTTATTGAATTTGAGTTTAGGTTATGATTACATTGCCATGTTGGTATAATTATATATGTGTATTCAAATATATATTGATGCAGAAATACAGTCTATTCTTTTATCAATAGTGAAAGATTTCGGACGATGGTAAACGTCTTAGGAGATTCGTTTGGAGCCGGCATTGTTGATCATTTGAGTTCTTCAGTACAATCACCCGATTGTGTAGAAATGACGCACAGTGCATCAAATAGTCAGGAGGAGGATGAGAAAGACAATCTAGTTTGACGTGAAGAAGTCTTATTTTTTAATTTGTGTATTTTTTTGTGAATGATACAGTGGGTGAATCATCCAGGCGAAGATTGCATTGATATGTTGTAAATGTTTGTATAAAATACAAGCAGGCGGAAAGCCACTGCTTAGAATAAATACATTATGAAAAAATTATGAATTTCACTACAACAATTATGTATATGCTATATATGTCTACCATTTGAATCAGTTGAATCGTGCTTGTTTATATAAATTTTATTGTACAATAAATTTTTGATATAAACAAACTATCGTTATGTTTGTTATTGCAGCTGTACCATAGGATGATTTTTGTTACTAGACACGACCATCAACAAACCAAATCTGTTTTATTTACTATGTTTTCAGTCCGATAAGAAACACCTGTTTTGGGCAACTGAGAATGATATAACCATATCTAAACATCATATCCGAAGCTGCATGCATAATGACAATAACTCCCTTACAACGCGAATTAAATCAAACGTTACAACAAGTTATATCAGGCCCACTCTGTGAATAATAGAATATATTGATATATAAAAGTGAGTTATCGATTCCAGCTCTGTTAATTTTTCCTCTTTGGTGTACAAATTTCTGTGAAAGTGATCCCTGTATCCAGATACAGAACAATTCTTCAATATCTCAAATATAATATGTTGTAACCGATGGTCAAGCAAGCAGAAGAGGCTTTCGGTGGGGTATCTGAAGATAAAGATGGATGCGAGATTTTATCCACAGCTTTACAAGAACATCACGAAGTGAATTGAATAAAAGTCTTAGTAACTGTGATAAAGTGATGTTTAAGCAGGATTTATGTGGTATTTATAGTGAATCAAACTACGGTCTAGCGCACATAGGGCAGTCTTTGTACAAAACGATCTTACACCAGAACAATGTTCAGAGCAAAACGTGACATTAACAATGCAGATGGAAAATTACTAGAAGACATCCTCATCATCTTCTCGTGTGTTGAAGGTGTTACAGTGCTACAGGCAACGATACAGGTACAAAGACGAAATGAATAACGTTAGTGACTTAAACATTCACCGTAAGAATGGCCTGGTAACATCGTCAGCAGGCATGATAATATCAAAAGCTCACTTGAAGCAATAGTAGAATGTGAGTGGGATCGGTCAGACGTATCTGTGTTCATTGACTTAATAATGCATGTTTCTGGTATCGATCAAACATTAATCCCTGTTTTTATACAGGTTTCAAGTTAAAAGTTTTAATTGATCAAGAATTTGGCAACTAAACTTAAGATACAATACACTATAGTCTGTTAAACCATATTTTTTCTGTTAATTTTTTATGCGCATAAAGGAAGTAAGATCACTTTTGCATTCTGCATCCTTTGAACATTTCATGGCAAAATTGAAGGCACAAGTGAAGTGATTTGATTGGTTCAAGGGGAATACCTGACCAATTATAGGGTGATACGCCCCTTTTGAAGATTACAAAGGAGCGACAGCATCAAAGCCATTACAATATACCGTTATGCGACCTCGAGATTCGTTTGATGTATATCAAAAAAATCAAACTAGTGTGTTATTCTCGTCCACAAGAAGCGACAGCTTCAAAGCTATTACAATATACCTTTGTGTGACCTCGAGATTCGTTTGATGTACATACTGATGAGTCTTTGTAATACTTTGATGTTTTTATTTGATTTGTTATTATAGAAACACGGCTTAGTCGAACCATCGAATAAGTCGAATATTTCATTTGGTCCGGTCGACATTTTCTTATCCATGTATCGTTTTGTGATCGACTACATGGAGATGACTTGAAATTTCTGAGGAAAAAAAACTTTGTGTTGGCGTTTGTGCGATTTCATGTTAAATTAATTGTAAAAATAGGTTTTTGTGTTACTGTTATCGTTTTACTATACAAAACTAATTTTGGTTATTAGAACACGATTAGAAAAGGTAAGTTGAAAGAATTTGGTTATAAATGTAATTAATTTCTTCCAGGATGGGCATTAGAGGACACAACTGAGTAAGCGTCACGAAGTTATTGTTTACTGAAATATTGAAACCAGTTTTATGTAACACCCACTTTGTAACATATATCACCTTCTAAACCCCAGGTTGGACATTGGAGGACAAAACTGAGTAAGCGTCACGAAGTTATTGTTTACTGAAATATTGAAACCAGTTTTATGTAACACCCACTTTGTAACATATATCACTTTCTAAACCCCAGGTTGGACATTGGAGGACAAAACTGAGTAAGCGTCACGAAGTTATTTTTTACTGAAATATTGAAACCAGTTTTATGTAACACCCACTTTGTAACATATATCACCTTCAAACCCCGATGGCACAAACATAAAATGAACTGATGGAAAGTAGACAATCTACTGATATTAATGTCTGGAAACATTTTACTGTCGGATATAAAAATGTAAATAAAGGAAAAAAAATTAAGATAAAAGATATATCTCTCTTACAAAGCTTTACATCCCTCTGGAACTAGGATTAAATTGTTTTAAAAATAGTTTTAAATATTCCATGTATTCTGTTAGATCCATGGTTTTATTACCGATTGTTTATAAAACTGTGTATATTCCAAATTCTGTACTACCCTCGACCGACACCGGAAAGGAAACATCGAATACAAGTATGTATGCTTTCTGTTTATGAGGTTAAGTGAATATTCTTTCTGCTGTTATTTACCAGTAAGTAATAATTGAAAAATCTAAATTTCTATAAGTGTAAACCTTTGTAGATTTAATGCGAGAGTGTTAGCGTCTTTTTAAAATTGTATTTTCATTATTTGGAAGGAATGTTATATAAGCATGTGATGTTTATTTTAAATCTAATGAAACGTTCCTGTATTACATCTGGTGACAGTGATATTTGAAAAAAATATTAAGGTCATAAAACTTTTCTTTTTACGTATTTTTCATAGATTTCATAGATTGATTTTGTTGCATACCTTGTTCTCATTTGAGAACGTGACACTACTAACTTGGATTGACCAATATGTAAATGGCAGATGTCGTCAATGAAGTAGAAGACGCTTACTCTCTTGTGGCCTTATTCTCTTTGTACTTTTTCATGAGTCTTCTTGTAGATCGTTTGTTCTTATTTTCACTTAGCCTTTTTATTGTATTTGACTTTGGATTATGATCATGTTGACAGATTATTAGTATTTTCTTGTTCTTTATTTTTCAGCTTCTTTTGATATCATATTCTCAACACACAGATTTGTTGTTCCCTTTCGATGGCGAAACTTCATCCATCACACTGTCGTGGCCACTCCGTTATAAAGATAATACGGAGTAACTTGTTAGTTATACTTATGCTGATGGCAATGCTAATTGGAATCGGTCTCGGCTGTTTGATAAGAACCTGCTGTGCACCATTGGACAATAGAACCATTGTATATCTGAAGTTCCCAGGAGACATTATGCTTAACACACTTCGGATGGTATCTGTGCCTCTTGTCGTCTCCAGTATCATTTCGTCTCTAGCCTCGCTCTCGATGAGGACTTCCGGTAGTATTGGACTGAAGGCACTAGTGTACTATCTACTTACCACGGTATGTGCCGTTATTACTGGTACTTTGGGCATTGTAATGATCTCTGACAGAAAATCAATTGCAGAAGAAGCGACAGAGATAGCTAATGACATTCACCAATTAGATTCATTTTTGGATATGATGAGGTAATTTAAATAATATTAATTATCCTAGAGTTTGCTTGAAGTTTACTGAACAATGGCATTTGATCCAAGCAATATAACGAGGCATAAGAGTATTTAACGATAGCAAAACTGAATTAAGATTATAACTTGCGGTTGACCTAGTTATCAGCATTCATGTCTAAAATTAATCTTTTATGAACCTGTGATATTTTTTTTAAAATACAACAAGGAACGTGTTCGAGACCTACTGTTTTGACTTAATCTTTCAAAATACCGTTTTCACACTTTTTATCATTTAATCATTTTTTATCATGTCACGCCGACTTCCAAAACATACCATTGCATTAACTAATCCAAGTGTTTACTCGTTAATTTTTAATATCACTTTCAAAAATTGGTCTTTTAAATCTTGATAATTGCCATGGTATATCTCTATTTAGACAATATATATTATTTTCTTTTTCAGAAATGCTTTTCCGGATAATCTGGTGAAAGCGACATTTTCAAAGGTAACTTTTTCTATCGTTCCGATGAATATATATTTCATATCGCACAGCTGAGACCAAATGTAAAAATGCTTTAATGACAAACTTATTGTTAGAACATTGCGAATGTAATTTTTGGCTCATTGAATTTCAGAAACAGTCGTTATTGTCTACTGTAGATGTCTATGATGAAGATATATCTGGAAGAAATACGTCAAGTAAGTAATATTTTATTCTATACTCCCTTACAAACTTTCATCGTTATTTTTCCCTCGCAGAAATATCACAAGAAAATCACTTTCTAACAAATGATTGAGAAATCTAAATTCTGACCTGCAGAAATATTTACTCTCTAAATGCCTTCTTGTAATAAATGTATCTCAAAGAATACAAAATATGTTAATCATTTCATTTGGAACACATTTTTAACAATCATATTTTTTATGTCATTACTACAGCATACTCCTGAAGTGTGGCGTTACCTTTTGTTCCATTGTTTTTATCCACTCCTTGTTATAACTTTTAGATATCTGGTCATGTTTGTAAGGTACATTGCACCTCTTTAATGAATCATGTTCTATCATGTTTATTTCTTGCTGTTTGCAGTAATGCTGTAATTGGCTATAGACATTCACTAATGGTGCCCATTTGTCAAGTAAAATCAAACTTTATTGATTTACAACTATTTTGCCAATATCTGATACAGCGTATTTTACTGTAATATTGAGACCATAACGAAACAGACATCAAAAACATTATGACGAAAATATCTATCCACAGACATCACGTCGCCTGTTTAATACTAATTAGTCAAGTTGTCATTTCATATTTTGTTTTATTCTAGGTAACATGACGACCAAGGAAACCTTAAAAATCACATCTGTTTCTGGAACCAACATGCTTGGATTAATCGTGGTCTCCATCTTTATCGGATGTCTTTTGTCTAAAATGGAAGCAAAGGGCAAACCTCTAGTAGACTTCTTCCAAAGTATTTACCAGGTCATGATGCGGTTGATACTGATATTTCTTTGGTAATCAAAATATTGATATTTCTGCAACACTACCCCGATATCAGTATCAAATATTATTATATAGGTTTAATTTGTTTTATAATGATGCGTCATATGACTTGTGATACAATAATAGTAAAAATGGCGTGAAGGATGTCTTTTTTGTAAAAATTCAGTTCAAATCGTTATATAGATAAAACAAAACTATGTTGGCTTCTCACACGGACAATTCATTACAGTTGACTAAAGGATAGCCATCACAACTCCCTTATGAAAGAATAAAACAACACATGTCAGTAAGCAATCTTATTGATAATTGGAATCAAGATGCACATTGACATACTGTTTTCTAAACTGAAAGAATTTCTTCCAAGAAATAAATAGTTGTGAACTATTCTGAATCGTATTTCATGAACAAAAATCATCCAAATCAACGAGGGAATATACGATGGACGAAATCCGAGTTTTCGGTTGACAATATTTTCCTCGACCTAGGTGGTAAGATCTTCCAACCGACCATTAGCAAATCTATAGGTCTACATGTTCTTTTGGTTGACTTTTGTGTTTTGATACGAGGCTGCATTTATCGACTTCTTTATCACAATAAGTCACAAAGACCTTGGGAAGGCCTCCATTTTCACTTTCAAACGTATTGCTGACGTCTTTTCCTTGAAAAACAGGATATTCACTGGCCTCGTCTATTGAATAGATCCGCCAGATTTGGAAATCAATGACACGACAGACTGTTATATATCAGCCTCAAATCTCGATTTTTTTTCTACAATAAAACCAACATGAACATTTTTCCAACAAGCTGTTTGATGCGCTTGGTAATTTTGATATCCATTTTATGACTGTTCCATTTCTGGATAGCAACATTCCTGAACCTTCATCCTATGATGTTTACGAGTTGCAGTTGATTCGATGGTTTTAGTGCAAGGTGTAGTTAATTGAAAGGGGATCAGATTGATGAAAATAGTTGGGAAGTTTTTCATCATTGTGATCATATTTAAAGTATTCTTTTTTCTGTGTGCGATATGAAGCTGAACGTGTTTGGTCGCTAGTTAGTCTGTTGGTTCCGTTTTCGAATACCATATTCTCATTTGAGACCATGGCATTACTTACTTAGATTGTGCAAAAGTCCATTACACTAACAACATCGTTTTGAAAGATACAAACACAATATGGTTACAGAATAGCGAGGTCTAAACATGAGAGTAAAGGACAGAGATTCATGAAAACAAAACAAGGAAAAATTAGACAAAGTAAGTATGAGAATTTCTTGAAATGTAGGTTGATGAAGGCAGACTTCGATAGATATCAGTTGATGAAAATTTTGAGAGATGAAGGTTGTTGGTGACTTCCAGAGATGGCCGTTGCTGGATGGATATCATGGAATGTGAAATATCTATCACATACTATTGACAAAAGTAAATAAGACCAGAGGACCAAGAAGGATGTCAGTAGCATGTGAATTTTCCATTTCTAGATAGGAATAACCCTTTGTATCTGTCGTAGGTCTGTAACACGTCACATTCCAGGTAATATTCATAGACTTATGATGCATATCAAGATTTCGACACAGGATTTGAAGAGATGGAGATTGATTAAGATTTGGGGAGATGGTAATAGGTGAGGACTATGAAAGATGATTGCCGATGAGGATTTCGTGAAAATTAATGAAAACTTCGTTATCTGGCGGTTGTGAGAGAGCATCGAAAAGTGGGCCTTGACGATGACGCATATGTAAAACTAACTTTTATATCGAACTGTCCAATACTTCCGTCAAGTGTGCGGTAGATATCGTATACAGAAGTTTGTGTACATTTGTTGGCACTTGAGCTTCATTTAAATCGGTTCCTGTGAAGTTAAGATTCAATGAAAGAATGAAGGTCTCTTTTGTATCATTTACCGAAAATCCGAAAAAAAACACGATTTTTAGTGCATTTTTCGTGTTAGGAATCATTGGATTGTGTGGTATAGTGTCGTACTTATCACATATACTTAGTTCTTTTTGCGGAGGATGGACCAAATGGATGTCTTATATCCTACATGTCAATCCTTGGTAGCATGGTCCATTTCTATTCATTCCAAAGCAAAGTTCCTTTCAATTGTTCATAAGTATATTGATGTATATACTCCAGTTAATGTAAGAGGTACAATATTTTGATATTCATACACCGCAAGAATCTCCTTTTGTGTTTAATCATTGATGAAATTTCAGGTTTACTCCGATCGGACTGACATTTCTGATAGCTGTGGCTGTAGTACAGATAGACAGACCATCGGAAACCCTTCAAGAGTTTGCCGTGTTTATCTCAGCAGTTGTGTTTTGTTTCCTGCTTCACGGCTTTGGTACAGTGTCGATCCTGTATTTTATCGTGACAAGAAAAAATCCATATGTTTTCTTACGAAACATGTCAAAGGCACTTCTAACAGCATTTGGATCGACTTCAAGGTACATGTATACATTCAACGGATAAGTTCCTATCAACACCTTAATATCACACACACACACACACACACACACACACACACACACACACACATATATATATATATATATATATATATATAAGGTAATTCAAATCATGGTTGATATTTTAAGACACAAAACTAGTGTCAAAATAGTACTAGAAAATGGTCCTAATTGAAAGAAATTAAGAAATGTTTTTTACTATGTATATGCGTCATAGTCTTGGTCAACCACGTGAGAACATCATTGTAAATAGTGGCACACATGTAGTAAAACAGTTATTCAGAATCAATCATTTAAATAGAACTATGTGGCAAGTCCTCGGAAATTTATTTTCGAATTTTATTTCATGTAGTTTGGCTGTGTCACAATCTGGCGTATAGAGCCAGTGTATGTGGAACGTATCGAATATTTCGAAAAATTGTTTATACGCACAACTTTTCAGCGTATGAGGTCGATTTTCGGTTAATGACCGTTAGAGTAACGTGAGCCTAGCGTACCGTCAGCGTATGAGTAGCGTAAGAGTAGCGCACGCATAGCGTATGTGAGCGTATGTGAGCGTATGTGATGTGATGTGTATTTGAGTTAGACGTATACCGACGTATGTGATGTGATGTGTATTTGAGTTAGACGTATACCGACGTATGAGTACTGTATATCTGCATACCTCCGACGTATGAGAGACGTATGCGGAACGTCAGTCTAACGTATGAGGAGTGTACACAGCGAGGGTATAAAAGGTGGCAGCGCGCGACTTTTGTCATTTCGCCAGTAGACTTCAAGCTGTCAAGATGCCAAAAGCTGGTTCTCTCTTAATTTTGAAAATGAAACTGTAAAGTTTAACGATAACAACGTTAGCTAAAACTGACCATCAAAATATCAGAAGATATGAGAAACAAGACAGAGCATTGATTAAAATGTCGTTTAATTACGTAGACCTTAAAGGTTCTTTACGGTTATTTACGTGATCTGCAATAAAAGAAACAAAATATTATAATTGCGGCAATCCAAAATGTTGTTGAAAGAATATCTTAAATTTTTATTTTATATCAAATCTAGCAGTAAATTGACGAAACCAAAAAACCGTATTATTTTGTTAACTTGTATAACACGTTAGCCATCAGTTGAGTACGTTAGACTGTCGTAAGAACTACCAGCATAACGTTAACCATTCGTTAGACACACGTCAGACACGCGTTCATTGAGGAGCGTAAAATTCATACGCTGAAATTTTTTGTGCATGTTCAAAAAATATTTTGGCCGTCAGCGTACATTAGCGTACACCGACGTTCCCCGGCGTACTAGAAACGTATTCCAGTGTACCCCTAGCGTGTTTCAGCGTATGTCAGCGTATGCCCACAAAGTCCATACGTTCCTTATACGCTAGAATGTGACAGCGCCTTTAGCTACATACTTATAAGCGATATGCAGTAATCTTTATGTATGATCTCTGCTTGTTTTGATTTTATCGTTCAAGTGATAAAGATTGACTATTCTCAGTGCATGTCTATCCGAGCACTGTCTATTTCTTTTTTCGTGTTTTGTGAACAATAAATATAACACCATGTATTTTCAGTAATATAACTGCCCTATTTGTGAATTAGCGAACAGGTGTATTTAAGTATGATATCTGGAATATATTATAGTGCAGCAGCTCTGCCCTTCACAATGGATTGTCTAATAAACAAGAACAGGGTCAACAGTCGTGTCGTTAACTTCATTGCTCCGATAGGGGCCACAATCAACATGGACGGAATAGCACTTTACATTCCAATGCTGACCATTTTCATTTCCCACCGAATAGGGTTGAGCTTGGATCCTGCACGTTATGTTATAATTGGGTAAGGCAATTTAACAGAATATATTTTATTCTGACTCTACTTGAATGACGACACGAATCTTTTAAGAAAACTAAAATCTTTTATATGGATGCAAATCATTCAGTCTATTCTAAGAAAGGGATAAATTTGTTGCGTGAAACTATAAGTAAAACAACATCCTTACTTTGTTTTCATTTCGACGGATATATAAAGAAAACGTACATATGAATTCTAATGAATGGACGAACCACAACGAGATTTCTTTATGTTGCAATGGAAGGTTGTCAGCTATTGGAGTATCTATAGGAGCCGCAGGTATTCCGGGAGCGGGACTAATGTACATGACAGTAGCCGCCATCGCTGTTGGTCTTCCTCCAGACCAAGTTCTCATCACTGCTCCGTTTGATTGGATATTGTAAGTAGAACAGGTGGCGAAAACACAACAAAAACATGGAACCATTTTGTGAACATTATTAGGTACAGACTATAGGTGTTAAATTGCGATATTCATTTTGTCAAAAAGTTTAGTGCTAATCAATTATAGTTTCGTTGTATCCATAGAACCACATTTTATAATATCGACAATAGACGTGGTATGACGACACTTCAAAGAAAAGCGATAGTACAATTTGGTGAATAAGGAATACTATTCTACAACAAAATGTAATATTCACGGTTGTCATGTTTTATTTTATTTTTTTTTAGAAAATGATTTGTGGTAAAAAAAGCACAATTAATAAATGAGTGTACAAAGGCATATTCTCATAATTTTTCACAATGGCGACTAACGTAGATAGAATTCAATTTGCCTTGAAAAAATTATGCGGAGACTTCTGACAAAGTATTAGGAGAATAAAAGACTAGATGAAATTAATGTAATTTCAAGCAAAGCGATATGAAATAAAAGGCATTTCTATGTTATAATTGTATTTAGAATGTCACCCTGTCTACCCCGGTGTTTATTAAAGATTGAGGGGGGACTTTCTAACTATTGGTTGCGATTGTGAACATGTTTGTATTTACAAGATATCAAAATGTTCACAATCATCATAACATCTCTCTTAAAACGCCAATTACAATGACCGTGTATATCTCATAGACTTGATCTTTTCAAACCATCATGCAATATACACGTAGAAATAATATCAATATTCTTGTAATATTGATTCCTATTATACTCATCATCAATTATCTACTAGTATTCAATATATATGAAACATTTACAAATTGTTAAAGAAAGGTAACTCCAGGAAGCTTGGATTGAAACTTTTTATACTGTATATTTTGACAAGTAAAACAACAAATGTTGTTCGCCACCGTCTTATTACTTTATAAATATGCATGGCCTTGATCGCGAGCCAGAAAGCAGATGACATTTTAACATAATTTCGGAACTAGAAATCGTGCTTTCGTAAAGTGGAAGAGATAAAAAAATAAAAAGAGTATTAAACTATGCTTAGAGAGTTAAACCTTTTAAAAAAGATCATTCAGAATCTTTGCAATACTGGCTCTTTCATTGGATTTTAGATAATCAAGAGCGTAGCTAGCGCAACAGTAATGTGTAAGCCCAGGCGAGGGGTCTGAATTTCATGATTTCAAACATGTTTTGAATCGTTTTCTGAGACAGTTTTTTTTTATTTATTTAACTACCAACTTCAATTCCTGATTTTTATTTTGTAAATTTGTCCGACATACTCTATGTACGGATTTTTTTATGTGTAAGCGCGGGCTTTTTCTTTCTATGGAAGCTACATCCCTGATAATGTATATTCGGCAGGTAAACCTCGTACAATGTCCCATGCTAGAGATTATCTAATTCATTCAAGATGTACTCAGATCAGGTGTTGTTTAGTCGCTTTGGCATTTAACATAAAAATCAGGACTGTTATATATTTTGTATGAATAATAAATCTAATTAAATCTACGTTTTTAATGCAGTGCACAATTTCGGACAATGATCAACGTCTCTGGAGATTCATTTGGGGCCGGCATCGTCGAACATTTAAGCTATTCCTTACTGACACATAACAAAGCAGATACGGTGAATGAAACTGAAGAGATGTTTGAGGTCGAGGAGGAAGAAACTAATTTAGTTTGATAAAGGACTATTTTATGGTGCTTTTCTTTGTTTTCTTTGTTGACAAATAATAAGCATATGTTTTCATTGTGTCAGGAATAGAAAATTAAGTATACAATGTGACATGTTTCATGTTTTAGAGTGTGATATTACTCAGTACCAGTTGGATACAATTTGATTTCATAAAAGTTACTTGCTTACACCATGCTGAGCTTGTTAAATGATATTGTATGTGTGTCATGAGATGTGTAGAATTATTTCTGTTTATTTTGTTTTATTTAAGGTGACCGTGCATAATAGTTAGATGCGAACAAACTCTTCCCAAATGTTCTAAACTCATGGGAGCATTATTATTAGAGTCAGTATCATCAACACCACATATGTTGCAGTTGAGAGTAGAAGACATTGGATATGATATATAAAAGAGTCCCAAATGTTGTGTTTGTTAATAAGGTGTTTGTAAGATACGTCTTTATAAAGGGGACGTTTTAGGTCGCCGTAGTGATCCAATTGAGAAATATTCTATATCTTTGTGTGACATGAAGCTTGACGTTTTTGATGCTCGTTAGCTTGCCTGTTGATTCCGTTGTTGGATACCTTGTTCTCATTTCAGAACGTGACATTATTTTACTTAGATTGACCACGTTTACATGGCGGGTGTCGTCGATTAAGCAGAAGACGCGTACTCTTCTGGAACACTTAGTCTTATTCTCATTGTATTGTGTTTAGGAATATCCGTGTAAATCTTTCTTTTGTTCATAGTTTGCCCTAGTTTTATGGAATTTGAGTTTGATATATGAATATGATGTCATGTTGGTATTTTCGTGATGTTTTCTGTACGGGTTATGTAAGCTCTTTATAAGTAAATAAGTGTTTATAGTTGTATTCAGTTGTTTTTTCGTGCATTATTTTGTAGTTGAATGCAATTGGCAATAATCAAATACGTTAGCAATTTATGGAAATAAATCATGAAGATGTCTAAATATAAAAAAAAAAAATAAGAAAACATGCATGCATTCTTGTTCTTCTGATGCTTAGCAACAACATACAATGTATCTATATATTTCAATAATGTATATAAACGAATTGAATAATATATACTTCAGTATAACAGAATATAAAACAGTGTATTAGTTCAAACAAAGTATTGATATAATGTAAAACAGTTAAAACGATTTAGCTTCTGTTTTTATGACAGTATGAACATTATCTAATACCACTTGAACTTTTTGTTTGTTTGTTTGTTTGTTTGTTTCATATGTTCCCGAGGCTTATTGACTTTGAGTTTGAATTATGATGATGTTGACATGTTGGTATTTTCCTGGTTTTAAGATTACGAATTTCAGCTAGTATCTGTACACTTCACAACCTAAGTCGTGCATACTACCCCAGTTCATAAGACTTATATCCAAATGTCATTGCATTTACCCGGAGTATGAGTTATGTTTCACGGCAGCCCGGGACAGGTACACACCGCATGTTATGTCAAATGATTCCATGGCAAATTAAAATGTCTTATTTAGTGTTTCCAATGTAAATGTAGAGCTTGCTGGTCAGTAAGGTGACGTCAGATAAGTGTAGAAAAACGCCTTTCTTGCCTCTTATCGCCGCTGTGTTTTGGGTTTACGCTTTGCGTGTAGCTATATCCGCTGTACCGATGATAGACGGCGTAGACGTCATAAAATAAACACATTATGTATCACATTGATTTGAATTTGCAGTAAGACGCTCCGGGGAGCAGTTAATCTATGTGGAAATGCCTTGCTCGCACGAGAGGATTCAAATCACGTTAACAGGAACGACATGGGAAAAGAAACAGCTGGATTTAAATTATATGCACGGACAGTAATAAGGCATTTGATTATGATAACACATTAACGATGTCATCATATCTTTTATTTTGGGTTGCACGTAAAGACCATTGACGTAAACAGTTTGTCTGACGGGGTTTGAAAGGCGAATATCATCTTAACTCTGTCTATTATTAATATCGACGAAATGCTGAATTGATTTGTAACCTAATAACATGTAAAATACTGACTGCCGTAAAAGTTAACAAATTCTTAATCAAACTCAGAGTCCTGAATAAAAGCCTATGATATGACCGAGTAGCATTGTAATGAAAAAAACTTCATATCCTCGATAATCCAGTGGTTACGATCACTTTCGCTCTCTCCATCCCTGAAATATGTCATGTCAAAATTGAACGTTCTATGAGAAAATACTTTGTGGACAGGACTAATGAATTAATTTGAAACTTTGACGAATCCTGAGGTCGCATAACGGTATATGGTAATGGCTTTGAAGTTCTGTGTCGCTTCTTTGTGATCTTCAAAAGTAGTGTATCAGTCTGTGATTGGTCATTTTTTCTCTTGGAACCAATCAAAGTACTTCGTTTGTGTCTTCAGTTTTGTCACATGTTCGAAGGGTGCAGAGAGTGAAAATGATCGTAACCTCTGGAATATCAAGGATAGTTCCAGAGGTGCAGGGAGTGAAAATGATCGTAGCCCCTGGAGTTTCGAGGATGAATACTTTACTGGTTTTCACTCAATTTCTTTACAGAGGACAACATCAGTCATGATATCGCAATACGTATCCCAACAGTGACAAATCACAAGTTATTACAAGAAATAAATACGTATAATGTCGATGTGATGAGATATTTTAAATATATTATTGTTATAACATAACTTCAAACCAATTGTACACACAATAAACAAAGAAGTATAAAAGTCCAATATTCTACTAAAAATAATGGTATTTAAGAATCCTACAGAAGTTTTAAATTTTAAGGAACTCTAAACAGTATAGGCTTTATTGTTACTCTTTATTGATCTGTTATGGCGATTAACCGAAAACTGTACAATATGTGTAAGACATGATAGATCGAGACCTGCCTGGATCTTGATTTGTTCTCTTTTATACATATTTACAGATTTAAACTTATCTATAACTTGAAAGCATGGACCTCATTTGTATTAAAGATATACACGTATACAAATATATATATATAGTGAAAATGTGATGAATTCTCCGTGCCCAGCAAAAATATAAAAGATTAAAAGACTGGAAAACACGATTAATGACGTCACAATTGTATTTATGTACATTATGTAAAACATCTGAAGAAGAAATGAAAGCGCTTATGTTTTACAGTTCATTGTGTTTTCCAGTCTTTTAATTATATATATATAACAATATGTATATATAAAAATATGGAAAATATAATACGTTATAACGGATATGCTTTTAACATACATTTTTGATTAGGTTCAGTATTGATAAGCACAAACACAAAACATAAGTTTCATCAATCATTTTAAATGTTTCTGGTTACGAAATAAAAATATTGCCCAAAGCATATATTCCATGTGATTATATAGTTATATATATGGATAGATCTATTCTAATGGGATCGAGTCTTCAACTAAAACTTGAACATTCCATAATAAGGTTTTTACGAACGCTGTATCAAATATACTTAAATGCGTTGACGGGGATTAAAGAACGTTAAATTTTAGGTTTTATTAATTATAGTTTACTGTAAACAATAACATGGCTCACTAATGACTCAAATACACATTTTATATTGAAGGTGAATATCGCTTTCTCTAAAGTTGGTTTTCAAGTCTAAAAATCCTTGTGGTTTTAGTAGCAGCCATCTTTTATAAATTCTAACTATCATTATACATGCTCTGGTTACTTTTTTCTTCAGATATAACTAGGATATGGATTATTTAACATTAATAGGAAAATCGAATAAACTGTCACAGTTCAGCGTTATTCAAGGATTCATTGTAAATCATTGCACTGAATAAACATACAGAGTACTGGTGTCAAACTAGGCTCTCTGTTTCTTTTATGCTGCCAGAGTTGTATCTATCATTGGAGCCTGCATCCTGAGGGAAGCCTTGCTCTGTAGTATTCAAAACTTTTGAAGACAGATGGTTCACAATTCCGGCCCCAACTGAATCTCCGTATACGTTAGCAACAGTTCGGAAACGTTCACTGTACAAAGAAAATCATCGTCAAATATATCTGTTACTAAATGACGTTCTACAACCTTATATTTTCATATTTCCAACTCTGAATGGTATGATATCTATATATACTATAATATCTATGGTGGTTGAATTCTACCATATCGCCTTTTCGCGTTGTTTCTAACGCAAAAACATGCCAAATTGTGGGATTTCGCCTTCAATTCCTTGTCCGAAAACGCGAACAAGCGAAATAGTGAACACAAAAAGGTGCCATTTCAAACTCATAACAATTTCGATTTTTAAAGAGAAATCAAAGTTAGATACATCATAAACCAAATAACGATTAAGCTTAAGTTCGAGGAGAGAAGATGTTGTCGTGTTTATTCTACCTTTGTATTGTTGCTAAGTCGTTTCATGTAAGGCATCAGATACAAGTAGCCAATTAAAAAACGCACTTACATAATCCAGTCAACCGGAGCCACCAAAAGTATTTGATCTATTGGTAGACCGACTGCCATGGCTGCTATCGTCATTGTTACTAAACCTAAGCCTGGTACACCTGCAGATCCCACGGAGATTCCGAAGGCTGAGAGACTGGAATATGAAGGCTTGACATTGCGTATATATTTTTAAGATCTGAAGTTTTAAGAATCTGCTTTTTAAACAAATTTCTTCGTTTGTTTGACTTTTCAAACGAAAATAACAGCTCTGTTAATGTAACTTCAGAAATCTCTCTGCCAATCAACAAAGGGTTTTCACAATATATTGATATGGCAATTTAACAATGTTTGTTATATAGATATTTATCAATATTTGGTCTGTTGATCCATAGATATATATCATTATGTCATTGGTCATTGCATTGACGGATTTGCCATACAGGTATGGCATGATAATTAAATGAATAGAAATTCGTAATTGCCAATATTTATTGTATAACGGGATACTCTTGATAGTATATAATGCCTTAGAACACTGTGTTAAGTCGATAATGATATATAAATTAAGTATTTTAGGAAATATAATAAATCATAGGTATAATATCATGTACCTACCCAATAATTATGTAATTTCCAAAATCAAGCGTCACTCCGAGTCTCTGTGAGACAAATATTGTTACCATAGAAACATAGAGAGCCGTCCCGTCCATGTTGATGATGGCGCCTATAGGTGTAATGAAATTCACCACTCGGCTGTCCACGTGGTTCTTACTGACCAGGCAGTCCATGGTTACAGGTAGTGTAGCCGCGCTGTTTTGACAGTAATTAAACTGGGTTATTAAAAGAAAAAGCATATATTTAAGAACGGAATACTCAAATATTTCAAAGTTTCGTCCATTCACATTTAAGTACATCGAATCATTTGAAAATGACTGGCAAATATACTCGCCTGATTATGTTTTTACATCCAACCGCCCCACACCCTCTCCCGTAAATACCTCAGGCAACTACGCACTGTATGTATCTTGCTTTTAGCAAGCAATTGATTTTAACGCATGGTTAGTTTATTTCCAGTCATTTAAAAAAATACACAAGGTGCAAAAGTGAAAAACAGCATTTTATACAAAAGATAAGAAAAAGTAAAGTCAATCAATGAATTAAACTACATCATATGCTGTTTCGTTCGTCTAGAACTTGTCAGTAAAACTACATCATAGAGACATGTCGTTGTTTAAAGACCCGTCACTGATGCCTACACGTGTTATTGTTGTTATATGTATAAAACACAAATCAGACAGGTTTTTTCTGCTTTTACATTTCTTTGTTAAAGACATTTTATCTTATCATAGGAGACACACCTTGATGACGTCCCGAATGCTGTCAGCAACGCTTTAGACATGTTAAGAACAAATCTGTAGGGATTCTTTTTCGTCACCAAAAAGTATAATAATGACAATGATCCAAAGGAATGCAACATCAAGCAACAGACTGCAGTAGGGAAGAATATTGCCAGTTCCTGGAGCACAACAATAGGTCTTTCTGTATGTACTATCGATGATGATATGAGGAAAACCAGACCGACTGGAGTAAACCTGTAGAATATATAATGATATATAACTATAGGTCTCTCTGTATTTACTATGGCTGATGATAGGAAGAAATCCAGACAGACTGGAGTTAACCTAAATAATATATACTAATTAATTGTTATTTGTTGTTTATACAGTAATTTATATATTGCATGCATGGCAGAATGATCCCAATCACAAGCATCATTCTCACAACGGTAAAATTTTATTAAAATATATATATCAGTCTTCTGAGGTTTTGATACGTGTCATATGATCTCTCGACTTACCAAATAAAGATTCCAATCAATCGCATAACCACCCGATACATACACTGGAACAGGTCAACCATTGGTTTGGCGTTTTCTTTCATTCTGGACAAAACACAGCCGACAAGTACGGCAACGACGATAAGACCAAGCATGTTTGTCCCAGGAATGGATATCAGAGTGGGCACGTCTACTGTCAGAGTCCTACCTAAAACCAATAGATGATTACTTTAGATCTGCTGATCAGGCAATGGTAAGATTCTAAATAATGTTATGTTCTCAAATCAGACCAAGGTATACAACAACGGAACTAACAGGCATGCTGACGAGCATCACACTCGTCCAGCTTCATATCAGAGAAACAAAACACTTCTCAATGAATTAATTATGACGACCATAAAACAAGCCAGCTCTTCATTAATGAGACCTGGCACGACACCACAAAAATATACATACGTTCTCAAAAACTGACTTATGATGCAGAAACAAACTAGCGAAATCATCAAAATAATCGTTTAAGGAGAAACAAAATATCATCAAGGAAAGGGGACATTATGATAGCTTATCTTATAGTCTTGTGTACTAATGAAGAAACCTTATTGTTCTTCCAGCTATTCTATAGCAATGTCTGAAGTATTGTTTTAATGTCGTCTTTTGAATTTAGACATAGCCAAATATTGTTTTTGTTATTAGTGTCTCCTCCATAACCAAGATTCCACGAGAATAACCAGAAATGAGAAAACGTTTGTGTGCCATGAGGATTGCAATATACCTGAACTGTTCCCGACACTTCCATTTCCACCTTCAGAATGGTCAGCGTCAGAATGATCTACCAGTTCTATGATTTTCCCTGTTACCACTGTTCGTTTCTAAATGTATTGAAAACTTGAATTTATTACACAAAACAAATGATAATAATGTTTGTACTCTTTCCGAGCAACAGAAATATGAAGTAAAAAAAAAGAAAAAAGAAAAGAAAAAGAAAGTCGATAAGGCAACAAACCATGAGAGACAGAAGTCCAGTTTATTTATTTTGACGTCCGAGGAAAACAAAACTTAAGCTCGGTCATGCATTAATCTTACTATCTTACCAATGTTACTTAAACAATGATTTATTTCACTTAATTAACTTTAATGCTGATTATAATCTTCATCTTGAATAACTATACCTTAGAAAGCATTGCAGCCACAATGTTGTCCGGAAAAGCATTTCTAAAACAGAAATATAGTACTGTCAATAGCTGTTCGAGAAGAATAAAAAAAAAAAAAAAAAAAAAAATTAATAACATATAAACCTTGATCAGGTACGTCCAAAACAAGAAAGACATATACGGAGGACGACATCATAAAAAGTGATCGAGTTTCTGGTTAAAAACATCTTCGTCGAGTTTGGTGGTAAGATATTCCAGACTGTTCTCATACCTATGGGAATCAACTAGGCCCCTCTGTTGGCTGACTTGTTTTTATTTCTTCAATTTATCGAAGAGCTTATAAAAACAGATCACAAAGACCTTGCAACGTCGTTTAATTTCGCCTTCAGATATACTGATGACGTCTTGTCTTTAATCAACAAGAAATTTATTGGCTACGCCCTTGGTATATATATCCACCAGAACGCGAAATCAAAGATAGGACCGACTCTTCTACATCAGCTGCTTATCTCGACATTTTCCTTCAACGAAACCAAAATGGACAGCTTTCATCAAGTTGTTTAATAAACATGATGGTTTCAATGTTCCTTTTGTGAATTTTCCATTTCTGGATATTAACATCCCTGCATCTCCAGTCTATGGTATTTACTTGTCACAGTTGATTCGATATTCAAGGACCTGTTCCCATTATCACGTTTTTTGTGTAAGAAGTCGTCAACTGAATGACAAACTCGTAACACGAGGGTTCATAAGATGCAGATTGATGAAAGATATGGGGAAGTTTTATGATCACCATAGCGATCCCGTTCAGACGTAATCTATTTCATTACATGACATGACGACTGTTGGTTCCGTTGCTGTGTACCTTGTTTTCATTTGAGACATTACTTACTGGGATTGGTCACGGTTTACATGGTGAATTTCGTCGATGAAGCAGAAGACGCTTACTCTTCAGGAACGCCTTATCTTATTCTTCTTTTACCTAAATATTTCTTTTGTTTATAGTTATCCTTAGTTTTATTGAATTTGAGTTTGAATTATGAAAATATTGCCATGTTCGAATTTTCTTGGTATTTTACACTAGTTGTAAATTCATATCATTTTCCTCACTTGAACTTTATACTAAATCTTCACGGGTTTTACAAACATCAAACATTTAGAAATAAGCTACACGTCTATAACATACCTTATCATATCCAAGAAAGAATCCAGATGGTTTATTATATTATCTGAATCTCCAATCACGTCAACAGTGTGTTTTCCTGGATGGACAACCAATGTCCCCACTATACCTGTAATCACAGCACAGAAAGTCGTGAGTAGATAGTACAATAGTGCCCTCAGTCCGATACTGCCGGAAGTCCTCATAGAGAGCGAGGCCAGTGATGAGATAATTCCCGAAACGACAAGGGGAACGGATATCATACGTAGTGTATTGAGCATGATATCCCCTGGAAACTTCAGATATGCAATGTTTCGCTTCTCCATCGGCGACCATGTTGTTCTTAATGCACAACCAAGCCCGATTCCTAAGACCATCGCCATGATCATAAGATATATCAATAAATTGGTCCTTACCGAATGACATGTTTGCCTTACAAATCTTCCTCCTCGAGACATTATCTGTGCGAATCAAATTTCATTAAAATCAAATCACTGAACTGATTTAACTTTTCAGCCAGCTTTTTCTAGTGAACTGTTTGTTGAGTCACTCGATGAATAACATGGCCAATATAAAATATTCATATGCATATTGTTTTGCATGAATCTTATTATAAAAAAAAAAAACGAGGTACAGGAAAACAACTACGCGAGATAAGACGTGATAGTGAATACTTCCTTCATTAAATGATATAACCCAAACACATATATTAAGTAATAGTACAAGATATTTAACAATGCATTATATTCGGCTAATGCTATGCGATGGTAGGCGTTATTCACAAACGAACTGCCCCTCTGTGAGCCCGCCTGACTGACCTATGGGATAAGTCACCTGAGTGTACTAGAAAAACTACAGATAATGTTAGGGGCTTTGTATAATATTCATTGCTGCAGCATATGTTTCAGAAAGGAATAAAATTTGAAACAAATAACTTTGATCCTTAAACATCTGATGTCCATTGTAGATGAAGATGGTATCTTAATACCAAATGGGAATATTGTAATAAACAAGATTTTGTATACTTCTGTTTGATTATGATGGACTCGCGTACATTTAAAGGTAAATAAACATCAACAACACGACAATTATGTATCATAATACAAAATTAAAGATATTTTAAATTCAAGAGTTTTGCTAAATTGGAAGCTGAGGTCTTGGCGAATTTCATGAAAAATACGTCTAAAGCAATGAAGAAATGTACCCATGGCGTAGTCGTAAAAAGTGTCCAATTTCTGGTAGACAACGTCTTCGTCCATTATTATGGTCAGATCTTTGGCTTACCTGGAGGAGAAAAAATATTCCCCTCTCTCCCAAGCTTGTTTATTCTTTCGTATTTGGATGTATTTATCAAAGCATCTTTTTTAAAACATGTCCAAAAGACACTGAAAAGGCCTTTGGTATCACTTTACGATATATTGATTATGTTTTGAATAAAAAGACATGCATTGACTACGCCTGTCGTATATTTGTGTGCATACCCACTAGAATTGGAAATCGAAGATTTCCACCAAGCTATATGATAAGCGTGAGTATTTCAATTTTCAAATGATGAATATACCACTTACAACATACAACACGTATAACAACATCCCAATATCTCCAACCTATGATGTTTACATTTCGCAGTCGATTCGATATGTTCACCAATATCGCAAATTTCGTGAGAAATGTCGGCACCTGACAGACAATCTCACAATTCAGGGTTTGGAAGGTTGATTAAAATTAAGCATCGTGTTTCTCATGATTATCATATTTCGAAATGTGCATTTGTATTTTGCAATATGTAGTTCGTCAAGTTTTGTTGCTCTTTGGTGTGATTGACCAAGTATTACCATGCGGGTTTCGAGGAGGAAATAGAAGACGCTTACCCTTCCAAAACGTTTGGTCTAGTTCTGCTTCTACTTTGCAGTATGCAGATAAATCTTTCTTTTATTCATAGTATTATCTAGGTTTATCGGATACGATAGGGAATTAAGATTTTGTGTAACGTGCCGGCATTCGGTCAATGAATTAAGCAATCAACGTTTTCAGTTTAGCTCGAAATGTTTAAGTTGTCATCGCTAACCTGTTAGATATTTATCTTCATAAATAATCATCCCAAAACGCATATAAGATTCTGGTTTTCACCAACAATTTACTATTTATAAGATATCAGTGAATCGGGTCAGTGAACCGGGATGGCACCGATGTCAGTGAACCGGGAAGAGATCGATGTCAGTGAATCGGGGAGACATCGACGTCAGTAAACCGGAGAAACACCGATGTCAGTGAACCGGGAAGGCACCGATGTCAGTGAACCGGAGATATATCGATCTCAGTGTACCGGAGAGACATCGATGTCAGTGTATCGGGGAGACATTGATGTCAGTGAACCAGGAAGACATCGATGTCAGTGAACCGGGAAGAGATCGATGTCAGTGAACCGGGGAGACATTGATGTCAGTGAACCAGGAAGACATCGATGTCAGTGAACCGGGGAGAGATCGATGTCAGTGAACCGGGAAGACATCGATGTCAGTGTACCGGAGACATCGATGTCAGTGTACCGGAGAGACATCGATGTCAGTGTACCGGGGAGAAATTGATGTCAGTGAACCGGAGAGACATCGATGTCAGTGTACCGGGGAGACATCGACATTTGTAAAGCGCTCCTTCACAAAATCCAAATATTTGGTATTCATGTTGAGAAAACCCAGACGAATCAGATCAATCATATCTTACAACACACAACAGGAACGAGATTTTTTTTCACTTTTTTAATTTGTTATTAGTGTAATGCTTCAAAACTGAATCGTTTGTAAAACTTCACTGAATTATCGATCACATTACATGACAACAATGCTAAACAAAATACACTTTACAACATTGTTTACCAGAATTCCTTTTTTGAACTCAAATATGAAACTTACATGAAATACCATCAGGCAAAATTTTAAAATCGTATCAAGTATCAGAGAAATACGTTCACTTATTATTGGTATATATTCGACGAAACTGACAGCAGGTCAGGGTTTGTTTCTGGTTGTTCACCACCACCCAAACCTTGCACGTCCTTACGTGACCCTAGCTGATAAAGAATGATTGAAAAGATGAAATGATACAGTGATGAACAGTTTCATGGTATATTATTATGATAACTAAGGCAACAGATAAGTAAATATCGATCCATCAACAATTTCTGTATTATTTAAATTAGCAGAAATCACTTTTGACCTTTTGTTTTGTTGTTTGAGATTTCCTTTGCTTTTGTTTATTTGTTTTTGTTTTGTTTTTATTTTTACAGTAGAAACGAAACTCAGCATTTTGTCATGATTTCAATAAGTGTTAAAAACCACTAATGATTATCTAGTTGGTAATGCACCCAATTTGTTAAAAACCTAATTCATAGATAAGTGTTAAGGTAACAAAAGTATATCATTGTGTTTAAAATCTACAAAGTAAAGGTTAAACAGAAAATAGAAACGTTGTGTCATCGTGAACATAGAAACAAACAAATAAAGAGAAAAAACTGGGTAAATGGCAGTCCATGAAGAATTCTTCATTCACATCACAGTATCAACAAAATGCACATATCTGATACACTTTGGGAGTTTTATCACTTTTCACTTTGTACAGGCATTAAAACAAGTCATGTGAGGTGTCAGATTTAGTCTTTGCTCTTTGTTTGCAATGTCTGTTTACAATTCTTCCGTATAAACATCATTAGTACCGGTATGATATTTTGAAGCTTTTATATCAATCAATCAATCAATCAATATATTTTATTTGAGTGTCACATATCACAGTACATAGTAATAAAAACAATATTGAACAGTTATTAATAAAAGTGATACCCAGCCGATATCGGCTTATGAGACACTATATAGTTAAGCATTAAAGTTATGGTTAAAACAATAAAAGTTACGATTATAATGTCCTGTATTGATAATTACATGTAGGCCTAGTCAAAATATACTGATATTTCCTACACAAGTGAGCGCCGGTACTTAAGCATTAAAAAGACTGTTTTGGCCAATAAAAACTGAATATCCGGCATCTCCATTAACCTTACAAATTTTTCACACGAAGTTAATAAAAGAAAGTTTGGTAAAATGGCTGTAGCTTCATTAAAAAGATCACTTCTAATTTCATTAAAAACTGGACAGTCACATAGAAAATGTATCTCGTCTTCGACTTGACCACTCTCACAATGTTTACACAGGCGGTCATCTAGAGGAATGTTTGTATATCGACCTGTCTCTATGGAAAGGGGGAGACAACCCAAACGAAGACGCGACAATGCACGACGATAATTTATACATATAGAGTAAATCTTGTATGCATCATTTATTCGTAGGTCACAGACAAATCGATAAATTGTACTATGGACTATCGATAAGATGTCTCGATAAATATTAACATTTAAAAGATGATATAGGATTACCAGTTTTTTTTATATCTAAGATTTCATTTGTCCGTCAAATTAAACGTGTTCATCTGATTTACAACCACAATGACAATTTATCACGTGTATGTGTTTCTAAACCTTGTGCATTTCCATAGGATTGTAACTCTAACAATACAGTACATTATGCACGTGTGTTACAATACATTACATTATGCACGTGTGTTACAATACAGTGCACTATGCACGTGTGTTACAATACAGTACATTATGCACGTGTGTTACAATACAGTACATTATGCACGTGTGTTACAATACAGTACATTATGCACGTGTGCTACAATACAGTACATGATGCACGTGTGTTACGATACAGTACATGATGCACGTGTGTTACGATACAGTACATGATGCACGTGTGTTACTATACAGTACATTATGCACGTGTGTTATGATACAGTACATTATGCAAGTGTGTTACGATACAGTACATTATGCACGTGTGTTATGATACAGTACATTATGCACGTGTGTTACAATACAGCACATTATGCACGTGTGTTTCAATACAGTACATTATGCACGTGTGTTATGATACAGTACATTATGCACGTGTGTTACAATACAGCACATTATGCACGTGTGTTTCAATACAGCACATTATGCACGTGTGTTACAATACAGTTTATGGTGTTCGTTATATTACAATATAATTCATGGTGCTCGTTGTGTTATTTATTATATTTAGTTGAGTAATGAGACAACGTTACACGATGTGCGGTGTGTGAAAGACGACTATACGATGTCTGCACGCTGGCTGCAAGATAGGAAAATTGGACGAAATAAACTATATGAGAAGAACGATTCTATTGTGGTTGATATGGATTTAGAAATGATTTATTGATAAGTGTGGGCTATGGTTTATTAATTTTCTAAATATCTAGGTACAACTAAGTAAATTTCCTAATTAAGTCTGAAATCTATTGGTTGGACACTTGTAGATCTATCATATATAGACTGTATAGTTCTGTACACTCGTGATTTCAATTGTTTTATTTCCACTCGGGACCAGTCTTAATGTACAAACTCTCATTATATATACATCATTTAAGTAAACATGTAATTGACTTTTCGTCTCGGTAAAAGAATCATCTCAAATCCTATACCGTTTGTCATAAAGTTTCATTTGTATTACTTTGTATACCAAAATTACAATCTCGTGTCGTGTCTGTTACACGAAAGGCCTCGCCAGTATGTATAAGAACTTGTTACATATATTTCCGCATACAGGTATTTTTGTTGCCAGGAGCACACCATCTAGTCACTATTTGACACTACCTCTAGTCACTCTCTGACACACCCTCTTTTCATTTACTGACACACCCTCTCCTCACTCTCTTACACATCCTCTTGTCACTTTCTGACACACCCTCTTGTCACTCTCTGACACACCCTCTAGTCACTCTCAGACACACCCTCTTGTCTCTCTCTGACACACCCTCTTGTCACTCTCTGGCACACCCTCTTGTCTCTCTCTGACACACCCTCTTGTCACTCTCTGACACACCCTCTTATCACTCTCTGACACACCCTCTAGTCACTCTCTGACACATCCTCTCCTCACTCTCTGACACACCCTCTTGTCACTCTCTGACACATCCTCTCCTCACTCTCTGACACACCCTCTTGTCACTCTCTGACACATCCTCTCCTCACTCTCTGACACACCCTCTTGTCACTCTCTGACACACCCTCTTGTCACTCTCTGACACACCCTCCGTTTAATTTTCATTTTTAGCAAACCGTCAAAGGTTTATGCAATCCTCACATTTGTGCGCTGGATACTGTATGGTGCATGTGTGCGGACGATGTATGCATCAAGTTTTTGATTCGCTGTGCGTTACCAAAACTATACAAAATATAAAAGAAAAATGAGTTACTTCTTCAGAAAGTATCCAATAACGATTCTAGCCGTTTGTGCTTTGTAGCTGGCTGCCGTAATGCTACTTTATACTCACCGTAATATGTGCACCTTTCATTAAAATTCCTTAAAAGAGAAAAAGAAATTATTCAAAGAAAGGATTTCTGGTGCAAAGCAATTTGATTGTTTTTCTATTTGCTTACTTTAAGATAGTTTACGGAGACTTGATATCGACTTAAACAATTCATGTGTTTGTACATATACAGATGACGTCTATATCAACTACATGGCATGTTAATATATAAACAAATAAGGTATGACACAAGAACACGACATGAAGGGTATGCTGGGGTATCTGGTAAACATTGCTTTTGATTTATATAAATGAGCAATATCAACGAAATTACTTGTTTCTCTGGGATATTCTTTTTTTCTAAAAATGAACTTTCTTAATCTTAATCCGACGCCTTGAAGCAATCATCATATTCAAGAAAAGGAAAAAAAAGAAACAAAGTTTGGCTTATTTGCTGAAGTTTTGACGTGACGAGCTAATTTACAGAGGATTTGACTGAAAAATTGTAAATTTGCTCGAGATGTTCCTTTGAACCTCTGGTTTTCTAGTTTCACACTCAGAAGAAAAGAGCACATGATTGTGGACAAAATATATACAGTGTGTTAGAACTACCGTAGACATCAGATTCAAATCTCCTTGATTGATGAGTTTTGTTAAATCAGTATTTTGTATGATGATGATGGATTTCGTTGTGTTAATCCATGGAAAACCTTAAAAAAAACCCTTGTCATGGTTTTCTTCACATTTTGGTAGTCGGATATTCGTCCTTGATAAATGTCGGATTTTCCACTGCAGCAGAGCCGTTTCCAGTGACGTTACCGTTTGTTCCAGTTTCTAGAGCATACGCAGTAGCGGCGCTTATGTCGTCCCGTGACAAATGTTCTATGATACCAGCTCCATATGAATCCCCAAGGACATTTACTGCAGTTCGGAAACGGTCCCTTAAAAAATGAGAAAAACATTTTTTTCAGTTTCAGTTCTTGAAAAGTTGCCTTGAAATGATAAGGGAACTGTTTTTCGAGCTTTCATAATATTTCGTAAAAACTTTTTTTAAATGATACAAAAACACAATCAAATTTTTCAACAACATTTAGTAAGGACCTTTGCAATACATGTGTCACAGAAATATTTTCACGTCAGCTGCGATAGATCAAAAGGCAAGTATTAGAATAAACCCCTCAAAGACAGGTAATTGGTAATTAATTTCAACCAAACTTGAAATATATAAAAGAAATTTCTGAATTGTTAAATAGAATGTCTTTATTTACTCAACTTAATCATATATTCACAATGAGCGTGTTTGGACGTCTAGTTTGTTTAGTCCTTTAAATTCAGCAAGCTCCATAGTGAGTTTCTCTATCCGTGCATGATATTGCTATTAGATATGTCAGAGATTTAAAAACAAGTTTCGAAAATCTTACTTTTCTAGTTTGAATGCAAACGCAACGCATTAGTTGCTAGAGCCAGTCATTACAATCTTGACAGTTAAATTTAACAGATTCGATAAGCTCAAACTTTAATTTAATTCAAATTTATGGGAACCATTCAACTGAAACGTTATCGTTGACTTACAGAAACCAATCAATCGCCAAAATCAGCGTTATTTCCTCAATTGGTAAGCCCACTGCTGACAGAACGATTGTCATGGTGACGAGTCCCGCCTGTGGTATTCCCGCTGCACCAATAGCGGCAGCAGTAGATGTGAGACTGGGGAGGTAAACGAAATTAGATAAAACTTCAAATCATTTTCAAATTATAATAAGAAAATATATAGAAAAGATAACGAAATTACGTCTTAGAACAGCTGCTTGCATCTTTGTGTTTAAGTTTTTGACTTATTCTTGTATGCTTAATCTTACCTTACGATGATAACTTGACCGATGTCTAAGTCAACCCCAATATTTTGCGCTATAAATATGGAGGCCACCGCTTCATACAAGGCTGTGCCATCCATGTTGATTGTAGCACCGATAGGGGTCACAAACTTGACTACACGGATGTCCACGTGGTTGTTTTCCTCTAAACACTCCATCGTTATTGGTAGGGTTGCCGAACTAAACAAACGAGGACAAATTGTAATACCCACTGTTATAACCCACAGTACACAGTTATAATCACATATCAACAAACGTGATATTTATTAATTGATTAATAATGTTATCAAATCTGTCATTATACATAAAAGCGAGTCCCACTACCCACACACACAAATTACTGATAACATCTACGTACTATCCTGTATATTACAAGAAAACTAACAACAACTATGTATACTGAATGTTTGTTCATATACGATGTACATTTTAACATGTCCCTGCTCGACATTGACTTCTAATGTAGAATTTGCGCTTTGTTAGCGTCCTGGTTCTTTCATTGAGAACATGGTATTTCTTGCATTTCACGTAGACTTGTATGAAGAATGTCGCGAAAGAGGAAATCACGTTACATTTAAAAAGGCTTGGTCGTAGCCTGTTCTTAGTCTTCTTTAATATCACTATGTAATTATTTTGTTTTAGAGTAAAACTTTCCTGGTTGTTTAACATTTTTGTAAACTTTATTGTAAAATCTATTGTACAACAGTTGCGAAACAAGATATTGCAACTTAAACTAATCACTCTTTTTGGCCTGGATGAAAGAGCGCAAAAGATCTCATTGTTATTGAAAACCGGAGTACCCGGACAGCTAGGTGAAAGGGGAGTTCGATACCACTGCGTCACAGGACCACGTTGTTTACTTTTCCCCTAGTCAGAATTTTTCCATGGCTTGGGAAACGTGTAATTACCTTGACGCGGTTCCCCAAGCTGTCAATATGGCCTTCAGCATGTTGTACATGAATCTATAAGGGTTTTTCCTGACGATGATGCCGTAGAAGAGAGGAAGAAGGATGAACGCGTGTATAGCAAGCCCAGCTAGTACTGTTGCCATGTAGTATGCCAACTGCTCGAATATGTCTTCCGGTCTCTCCATTGCAACCAGCTTGGAAGCAATTAAGAAGATAATACCGATCGGCGAGTACCTGAAAGAGTATGAAAATTAAACAACGTATAGTGGCATTATAATATTAAAGTTTCACTCATATATTTTGAAATAAAGTGAAAAACACTGATTGTTTTTCTTACTGCTGAAAAAGTAATGCTTGGGAAAGTGTATCGTTATCTTTAATGGATCAATTACGATATTTCTTTGAGTTTCGGTAAAACTTTCCTAATAATTTTATTATATGAACATTTATATTTTCTTACCAGATAACTAAAGTCACAAGTCTCATTGAGGCATGGTGGAGACATTCAAAGAAGTCCACCAATGGTTTTCCTTTGTCGCCCATGGTTTGTAAGATACACCCGAAGAAGATTGAGAAGACTACTAGACCAAGAACGTTCATTCCTTCAGCCTGTCCATTGACATAAGGGGCATCCACAAAAAAACCTGTCAAAAATGTATACAATAATGTCCTCTTAATTAAGAGTATTGAATACAATTTCAAGCACAGCTTAACTGCAATATTATTATATAATTGTATAATTTCAGGACCTCGTTTCTATTAATGATATCTAACTGTACAAGTGCATGACTTTTGAACTACTTATTTGTGCCGCGGTTATTTTCTATAATTCGTAAGGACATTGAACTTTGAATTTTTATGCATGTCTTATGAATGTTTGATGGTATAAACATACTTTTAAAATATTTTTCTTACCTAGGAATACCTCTACAAAAATTAAGATGGCTTGTAGGTAAGATCAAAGTTCCGAAACACAAAACGACATTTCAGACATAAACAATGCTGGTCGGAAATAGACTCGCGCATATGTCTAAGAATGCAGTAACATTTAAATATTTAAAAATAACAAATTTCAAATATGATGTATTTGCAAAACATTAGAAGTTTTTTTTTCAACTTGAATAAGATGAGGAGAACGACAAAAACTATTATGTATTTTTGCTTCAACGATCTTTGTTATGTATAATAATTCACTTCACGCTGGAGCATCAGTACATGAACACTGCTGCCTTCTCAAATCAAGAAATGTGTGGAAATGCTTTTCATGAAATTTTTGTATTTGTTACTATAGCTAAAAAAAAAATCTGATAAATGCGGACTTCGAGCTTAACACGTTTTTATCATCAGTTGAAATATTAAACGTATGGATTAATATCAGCACAAACACAAATTATTTCTTGATTTCGCGTTAGAACCTTCTTCAAAGCGGTATTATATAACCAATCTTGTCATATTTTGTATTGCTCATAGACGTTATGCAAGAGATACAAGGAAGACTTTTGAATAAATGGCTGAAATGTGAGCTTAAATAGACGAAGAATTGGTGCAAATTAAATGTGATTCCTAGCATTAACCATTGAATTCCTTCATATTACGTAAAACGAACAAAGTCAGTACAGCGGTAAAGGTTGTTTTCTGTTGTTGTTGTTGCTGCTGTTGTTGGTGTTGTTGTTGTTGCTGATGCTGTTGTTGTTGTTGTTGTTGCAGCTGCTGATGTTGTGTGTTGTTGTTGTTGCTGATGCTGTTGTTGTTGGTGTTGTTGTTGTTGCTGATGCTGTTGTTGTTGTTGTTGTTGTTGCAGCTGCTGATGTTGTGTGTTGTTGTGTGTTGTTGTTGTTGTTGCTGTTGTTGTTGTTGCAGCTGCTGATGTTGTTGTTGTTGCTGCTGCTGTTGTTGTTGTTGTTGCAGCTGCTGCTGATGTTGTTGTTGTTGTTGTTGTTGTTGTTGTTGTTGTTGTTGTTGTTGTTGTTGTTGTTGTTGTTGTTGTTGTTGTTGTTGTTGTCTAGTATTTTCTGATGATGTCGTGGGTCATCAATTGTTATTAAGGAATGTGTCCCTGATAGTATACATGATTAGAGAAACAGAAAAAATAGAATACTGACTTGCTGCTTCTGTGTAATTTGGCATCATGGTAGTAGAGATGTTTGGGTTAGCTGTTGTAGTGGTCATAACTGGTGGTTTAACCTCGAACTGGTCCACTTCTGTCACTTGCTGTTGTAATATAACATTATCCATGTATAGAACATATTAATAAATTAAGCTCGGGTACATTTACGACAGGTAATTAAAATCTGGGACTTTCGGATTAACAACGTTACTGTTTATGATGCATTGTGTTAAAAAAATTTATTGATATCTTAGACATTGTATCACAACTAACTATGAAAAAACATTTTTTGACTTGTGCCCTGTCCGGGCTTTAAACTCATAATCTGCTGCATCAAAATCGCCAAGAAAAAGAAATTCTAACCTGCCTAACCACTATACCACCACGACATCCCTACACATTGTTAAATTAGGTATATAAAGTTGCATGCAAAAATAATACACTGCGAGTATGATAGATATTTTCCGATTGACCAGTACTGTATGGCTCAAATATAACATACATCTCAGAATTATTATATTAGAACAAATGCGGTTCATAACTAACTATGAAAAACATTTTTTGACTTGTGCCCTGTCCGGGCTTTAAACTCATAATCTGCTGCACCAAAATCGCCAAGAAAAAGAAATTCTAACCTGCCTAACCACTATACCACCACGACATCCCTACACATTGTTAAATTAGGTATATACAGTTGCATGCAAAAATAATACACTGCGAGTATGATAGATATTTTCCGATTGACCAGTACTGTATGGCTCAAATATAACATACATCTCAGAATTATTATATTAGAACAAATGCGGTTCATAAATTTGAAAGAAAATAGAAATTAGGAAAAACCTAGGTACATATTAGATAATTGAAAGTGATTTTCATCAATTCGCCAATATTTGTTTTCAAGTAAGCTAAAATCTGTTGATTTGTCTCAGAGGAATAGTATAAATATGAACGAAGAACACAAACAAAAGTCTTTTCCGATCAATCTCTGCTTTAAGTTTTCGGAATACACACAGTGAGTCAGTTTGTATAAGAATGTGCAAGACTTAAATCTAATAATAGTTTGATACAGAAAACAGTAGGCGAAATTATACAAGGGAGATAACTCCAAGTTACATGTTAATATAACATAGAAAACCTTAAGTGTAAGGAGTAAGTATGGACTGATGTAACAGCAAGTAAATACATACTTAGTAGATTTATGTAGAACGATAACAGAACTCGAAATCAGTAGAATAAAAATACGACTTTCCGACAAGTAATAATTAACCAGGATTTAGCTTAACGTTCATACAATACCTCCTAAACTATATTTGGTGATATATTGATGTCAGTTAAGGTACCACATATGTTGGAGATCATATCCGACACTCTAAAGGTTACGATTGTTTTCGCTCTCTGCACCACTAGAACATGACAAAACTAAAGGTTCCGTGAGCAACACCATTGTGGACAATACGAAAAGACAAGTTTAATACTTTGATGTACACCAAACGAATCTCGAGGTCGCATATCGGTTTATTGTGACGACTTTGAAGTTGGGTGTCGCTCCTTTGTAATTTTCAGCGTAAGAGCATGTGATTGATCAAGTGTTTTGCTCTCTGGAACCAATCAATCATTTGAGCTCTCAATTTTGCCATGGCATGTTCCAGGGGTGCAGTGAGCAAAAGTGATCATAACTTCTGGAGTATCGAGGATGACTGGAAGTATATGTGTATGATGCATTTAGGTGTTTCTTCCGTTACGTTTCAGGCTCTGTTTGGAAGAGCTGGAATTTTGTACAATTGCCTTTGGTCCTCCGACATATTTTTGGGCGAGGGTATGCTTAATTGTAGCCAACTAGTAAATTTAACTGCATTGTACAGAAAGATGAGGGGAATGATTTTTTTTATCTTTGTAGGTATAACGTTGTAAGTCCAAAGTGTTTTATCATTAATGTATGATAAAATAACAATACGACAAGTCAACAAGACTTTGGTGAACTCTGTGAAAGGATGAGAACAATCTGTAGCGCTGAGTATCAAATATACCCAATGGATGATTACGAGACATTCAGTATACGGAAATATTATGTGTCTGACATGCCGTCTGAATTGTAAATCAAACAGAAGTTGGCATATGATTATATTTGGACCACCTAACGTGGTACGACGATCATTGGGTTCTGTATTACATGAAGTCTATGGTAAAGCGATTTTTTTCACTTCTTTTCCCCTTCGCGGCAACCGCGGAGGGTATGTAGCGTTCTGTTCGTATGTATGTTCACCTTTTGTCATCGCTCTAGCAACTTCACTTCTCAACCGAATCATTACACCTAGAACGGGTTCCCGTTTCAGCGTGCGAGGGACAACGTTAAGGTCACCGTTACTGTTTATAGAATTTTTTTAGATGCAACACAGCTTCATAAATATGGGAATGGGGAATTTGTGTCGTTTCCTTTTTTAAATTCTTTTTTGTTTTGTTATGTCTATCTGTTTATGCGCTATTCGGGTATATTCGTAAATGATTTGTAAATTTTACGAGAGAGGCGAAGTTTGTATATCAATGAAGACTTGATTTAACAGTCCTCAAAATTCTTTCAACTTTACCGTTAAAAAAGCAAACTGCATACACAGACTACGTCATAGATAAAACCTAATCTACATTGCGCCATAAATGGGACGAAAACAATATCAGTTTGGAAATTTGATATCTCGAAAGGATCTCAAGGTTACCGCAGTATACCGAGTGCTCAGGTACAACGTATTCAATGTATTTATATATATCTAGCTGGAAGATAAAACACATAGATTTGGATCTACACCCATGATCGCTAAACCGGACCACAAACGGGAACGCTAATGATCGTCACCAAAATGTTATTTGCTGTAATATTTATCAATCTGTTCTGTCGACCTTCATGATACAAACCTTTCAAAAGCCTGCGATCGTCACTGTAATCTGATCTACTATAATATATAGCATGCTATGAAATTGTATTGTCTGGATTTGCCACGTACAAACCTTTCGAAAGCAAGCTGTTATTAAGTTGTTTGGAAAGCAGTTTCTGAAAGAGAGAAAATTACACATACGGTACAAAGCAACCAATGCCAAGTTCAAACACTTAAAAGCGAATGTTTAAATCTCAGGTTATTGAAGTGGTAGACACCACATTTGAGGATGTATCATATATCATATCTCGAAATCAGAATGCTGGATTTAAAATTACGCTTCCTTTAAACCTAAATATTGTGTTATGTAAAAAAAACCCAGGGCCAAACGTATTTGAATCGGTTGGACTGAATGCCGGCGAACAACACACAGACAAACACACAGACAAACACACACACAACATGTCAGCATAAGCCAAACTCAAATCCAATTAAACTAAGGCAAACAATGAACAAAAGAAAGATTTACAAGGAGAAAGTAGAAACAGAATAATACTAGGTGTGCCGGAAGGATAAGCGTATTCTGCTTCATCTACGACACTCACCATGTAAATCCGAGTAAGTAATGTCAGTCACGTTATCAAATGAGAACAAGGTATACAACAGAACCAAGAGGCAAAGTAACGAACATCAAACATGTCCAGAGTTTACGGAGCGTGCACTGGTCGATATTCCCTCCTGTTTTTCCTGCTTTGTTTCTGTTACATAATTAATGCCTAAACGACCCAATAACGATCACCTAACAGATCCAGCGATTTATTGGTTACTTCTTCCTCGGAGGTTATTTTGACAACGAGGCATTAATTTGACCCAGATTCCACACGGTATGTATCGAAGATGAAACAAGATATGCAAACCTTTTCGAAATATTATAGGGACTCAAAGGAGGCATTTCTTGACCTAAACCCGTATTAGCCACTTCGTAATTCACATTTCCTAAACTCCAGTTACATGTCATATGGAACATAGGTTCAGTTTTGACGTTACAACAGTTACAAAGTTACTGTTATCACAATGGTGTAATAATTGTTACTTAAAGAGGACAAGATCGTTTAAAGATAGAGAAAAGTGGTTGCGACTCAACATGTTTCGATAAGGTTGTCTGTCGTCGAGTTTCCCTAATATCACCAACCCATATGTCATGATTTCATTAATCTTTTGCAAAGTCGGACGTAATTTACTCACCAGGAGCCCCATTCGAATCTTTCGAAGGTCTAATGAAATCACTTGTAAGTTGTAAACTAGTATTGATAAGGAAGATTGGTTACGTATGGAAGCCATCAAATATCAATCAATGAAGGTGAGATGAAGATGATATATTCTCCCACTTACAGGCATTTCTTTACTATTGTCTATACAGGATAGTTTGATTTCTATCACAATTGAAATTATAAAGAATCTCACAATTAAACAAAACACACTAACTTCATCCTCTTCAACAATAATTACACTTACCTTATGAGATCCATGAGCGAGTCGATAGGATGAGCTTTTTTGGCTGACCCGCTCTTGTCTATCTGACTTCCCTTTTTTCCTGGCTGAATGGACACAACCAGGATGATTCCGAGCACGACGGCAACAAATGTAGTGGAGAGGTAATACACGATAGAACGAAGTCCCATCTTACCAGAGGCTCGCGAGTCCAGGGTGGCCAAAGCCGAAATCAAGCTGGAGACAACCAACGGTAATATCAACATCTTTAACATATTCATCAGCAAGTCTCCGGGAAACTTCAGGAAAAATATCTTCCTCTTCTCATATGGCGGCCATATATCGCGTAGTCCTAACCCCAAAGCCACGCCAATGATCACGGCGATAATCATCAAGATGATCAACAAATTGTTGAGGATGACGCGCCAAACTTTCTGTGAGCAGCTGCGGTCTTCTCTCTTTGTTTCGTCCCCCGCCATGATGGATTCGTACACAGGACCACTGCTACTGTTGGTAATTATATTTTCAGTTTCAGGAAACCTGCAAATATAGGTTTCAATGAGGCATTATAGAAATTTCGACAAGAGAAGAAGTAGGTCATTGAAAGATGACATGATTTTGAAGACTTTATGAAAGTTCTGCGATCATGATTTTGGTGATCCTATTCTAATGTAATATGAATTTAGATGGTCTGGATGCTTGTAAGTGTACCTCATTGCTTCATTTCTATTATCACAAGTTTTAAATTAGATACTAACCACTGTTTAAAGATCAATTTGTTTATTAAGCGAGGTCATCATCATCGGTTACAAATTAAATACCAATTACTATTAAAGAAACAATTATGTTACCAGGCGAGGTTAGTATGATGAGCTGGTGGACGAAGACCGTGAACAGTGGATGTGGTAAGGAGGAAGTACATGTATGAGAAGGGTTGGGATTGGGAGGGGCAAGGAGATCATAATTCAAAGTTAATTAACAATGTAACATTATCAGTGTAAAGTCTGATTTCTCTTCATTCACACGTTAAAGACAGAGTCATGTAATGTATGTAAATTGATCAAATGACTCGGTTAAAATACACAAAACAGATAGATGTTGGTGATGCCAAGGACCTTAACGTTAATGTATATAACACAGACCTACATACAGAGTACATATTGTATATAACACAGACCTACATACAGAGTACATATTGTATATAACACAGTCCTACTTACAGAGTACATATTGTATATAACACAGAGTACATATTGTATATAGCACAGACCTACATACAGAATTCATATTGTATATAACACAGTCCTACATACAGATTACAAATTGTAAACATAACACAGACCTACATACAGAGTACATATTATATATAACACAGACCTACATACAGACTTTTGGTACATATTGTATATAACACAGACTTACATACAGAGTACATATTGTATATAACACAGTCCTACATACGGAGTACATATTGTATATAACACAGGCCTACATACAGAGTACATATTGTATATAACACAGACCTACATACAGAGTTCATATTGTATATAACACAGAGTACATATTGTATAAAACACAGGCCTACATACAGAGTACATATTGTATTTAACACAGGCCTACATACAGAGTACATATTGTATATAACGCAGACCTACATACAGAGTACATAATGTATATAACACAGTCCTACTTACAGGTAAAATATTATAACTCCATTCGCACAGAGTGACAATACTTTATTAGCGACAATTACGAAGTTTGATATGATATCAATTAATTGTTTACATCATATGAAGGCAACTGGTATTACAAGGTAAATAGATAAATGGTTAATTATTTAATCAGAAAACTTATATATATATATATATATATAATTTTAATAATTGTAGTTGAAATACATTTCATAATATATGAAGATATTATCAAGGAAGTAAAAACGACAGCACTGACAAGTAAATTGGAAAATTTTCAAGACAGCCCCAACCCTTTATCAACACACAAAATAAGACACAAGTCTAACATAGATTACATCATAGACAAACATAAAACAAATACAAAGGTACAAACTAAGATCAACAGCTGTGGTGTCATTTTAGGTGTCTCGATAATCCCTTCGGCCGATGGACGTAGATGGCCTTTTTAAAAGTATGCGATGTCATGTTCTTTGTATGTGATGTAAATGATGTAATATTTGCTCCTTATTTTGTATCTTATTCACAGATCTATTCCAGTAATACTCATCAAACATTTGGTTATTTTTTTTAAAAAATCCACTACTAATATTGGACTATATCGTCGATATTATTTATTAGGTACAATTCAGGTAGAGTCATTTAAGATCGTGCGTATGCAAGCTGCATAGAGAAAACCAGTCCTTGTAGCTTGTCAAGATAACGAAAATTGTATTATCTGCATAGCAACACTTAAGGTACATATTTATTTACAAGTAGGTCACAAAACATCGGGTATATTCAGTTCTTAAGACGGAATTAATGGTAGCGTGCACTGGTATTTTCAGGTCATAGATACAAAAAAATTCATTTGAATGAGTAAGTGACAAAAGAGCTTTACTTATGTACGACCGTCGCCAAAACTGTGTCTTTTTTAATAGTTAGAGGCCCCTAATGGGTCGGCTATCAAAATAATCGTATACACAGCGTTTTACAAACTTGATGAATAATGTTGCATGCATGCTGTGCAGATGATCAACGGGTAGTATTTTCGGGGTATTGTGCAATCTGATAACTTAACCCCAGTACGAAATGTCAGAAAAGCATTCAAAATGTCATTTTCTTTCTGTAAGCCCGGAGTCAAACTCGAAATACCGTACATATAATTATACCAACAATGGCTAAGTTTATGATTTTGAACATTCCGAAGTCAAACAGAAAGCAGTCAGAACGTATCATCTACTTCTGGAATACGGTTTTATTTCCAATAAAGCCATTCGGATATAGAAAGGGCTTCGGTCAAATGTTAAGTGACAGGGAACATGAATACGTCCAATTTAATTCTGGTTTGTTCAAAACATGTGCTTAAAATGCTGGTCTTCGATTCTATATCGCTGAGCTGTATAGCGCAACTCTATGTATAACATGCTACATGTACCTTCTGTATCTATATCATTGGCGAACAGAGTGATAAACACGAGATTGTTACTGTCTACCAGATAATTATATATACAGAAATACCTTAAACCGGTTCTCAAAAGATTTGGATAGAAGTATCATCTACGACCATCAGATCTTCCAGGGTGACAGCATTGTCTGTGTAGACTGTTTTCCTCTATTGTTAAACCTGTGCTGATTAGCTTACGACTTAAGTAAACGCTGTGATGTTATGGTCTATTTGTAAAGGCGCTGATGTCATAATGAAACGTTCAAATGGAAAGAGGTTTTAACAGCATTCTATTTCACGTATTGTTGAAAAGACACACTTAAGTACAAACTAAAATAGGATGCAATAGAAACAAATAATGAATTAAATTTATCACAATCTGTTCCGTCATTCTAGGACTCGTCAGTGACTATTTTCACACAGTTGTGCGATCGCACAACGTTACACGATGTGCGGTGTGCGCACGATGTCTGCATGATGTGCAATTGCATCGTGCAGGCGAATGTGCGCACGATGGACGATCCAAACGATAGCTATCGTGGTTGATATAAAATTAGGAATTGGATAAGAATAAAGTTCAAATGTGCGGAACGATTGGGATATAAATATACTTCATGTGTTGTCGTGACCAAGGTAAACTGATCAGTCTTGAATTTTCTTTTAAGAATAAAAATTCAATTTGTCGCCAGTTGTTTGTTATGTTTTCAACAAGATCTCGCATTAAGGCAGTCGCTTGTAAACACACGACCGGGGCTCTTAGACGGACCGCTTCGAACTGTGACACTCACAACACGAAGCGTGAGACCTAATTAGGCCTAAGAAAGGTGTCACAATGAGAAGCCATGCTGCATATTGTTTACAGTATACGTTCCAAGCGCAATTATATGCTATCAGCGTCAGAACACACAAGAATATTAAACATGCCATGTTGTGTTTTTATAACAACGACATAACCAGTGGTACGACAGCAATCGGTCAAGGTCACAATTCATGACATATGAATGTACATACGTTTCACTCATATTACCCTCAACACATATATTTAAGACTTTACCTTATAGGTCAGGAGTGAAATTATTCAAACTTTAATTTGAAAAGAAAACGATAGAATTGAATATATATTGTGAGATTACTGATAACTTTGTTTCATTTAATGAATAGTTTTGAGGTAATTGTGAGTAAAATTGAACCTCTGATGGCTATAATAATATTCACCCATTTCATCTCTTCAACAAATCGAATAAGGATAAAAAAATTGATGCAAACACTATGATATTCTTACTTCATATAACACAAAAACATTGTTTCCGTTCGATCTCTGATTTCAGGTTCTTACCCATGTCAGACAGTGAATATAAAGAAAATAAAACGAAAAGGTTTATTCTTTAGGCACCTCTCAAGCAGATTAAGAACTATCGCTTTCTTTTATTTTCAACAATGTAATACAGTGTTTATATTCGAGGACAAGCTCTGAAAGCTCTGAGGTCTCTATGGTGAAGCTGGAGGATATAATCCAATGCATGTTACAATTGGAGTATGTATGTACCTGGGAATTTCGTTGTTTAAATAATTTTATTCTCATGACGTAGTTGTAAAAGCAAGAGATGATTGCACTTCCTAAACATTTTGTCAGCTGCTCATTGGTATGTTGAAAATGAAATTCCTTCCTTGTGACCATATTTTTATTTCTCGTTTTTTTTTTTTTTTTTTTTAGAATTATGATTGATTCAAATGTTGGCCAGCTTCTTCCTAGATTCATCGATACAGGTATGATATTTCATTCAGAGTTTCACATCAGCTATACCTAATGGTAAATCTATGGTGTCTATAGCTGATTTAGAAGGACCAACCTAACACCTACGATATATTGTTATAAGTTACATAATGCCGTGTAATATTGATAACAGAAGGAAATAGAATGATACCACGTGACTGCACTCCATTGCTAAGCAAACATCATTGAAAGTTATTCGACCTTTAAATATAAAATAGTTTGGAGTTTAAAGAAATCTGAGTTAATCTTCTCCCTCTTGCTACCTTAAATCAAGTAGAAACGATACTGTTTACTTACAATATAAATCCGATTCTATGGTCATGTCATGAATACGTTTCCTATTATTCTGTGTGAATATTTGATGACAGTGTTGAACCCGGCCACTGATGAATGTGGCAACAAACAAATAGTTACGAAAATACCTGTTAGTCTGAAATACGATCATCTCATTGTTTACTTTATTTCAGCGAAGTTGATTTCTTTTCAGTTGGGGGGTGACTTGGGTGTAAGAAATTAATTATTTGCCCTTTATGAACGTATATCGTTCCACCCATAGAGAGGCACAGTATACCAAGCGAGCCGAGTTCT